GTGGGAATGGAGGTTTTAGAGTATCCTTCCCCTGTCATGCCCACCACGTCACGCCCACCAAGCAACGGCCACAGAACCAATAGTAAAAAAATTTGAAACCTATCACTGGTGTGAATGTGCACTACGCTCACATCCCCATCTCTGCTCATGCGCATGGTCTTCTGTGCATGTGGAGTAGTCGCGCATTATGTCCGGGCAGGTAGGCGGAGCCTCCTGCAGTTGCCTCTACCGGATTATGCGATCCGGACAGAACCAGCTGAATCCCATCATTGGTCAGATGGGCTGCATATAAATTTAATAAATAAATACAGGTAGTCCTTGATTTATGACCAGAATTGAGCCCAAAGTTTACATTGCTAAGACAATTATTAAGTTAATTTTGTTCCAGTTTTCCTCCTTTCCTGCCACAGTTGTTAAGTGAATCACTACAACTGTTAAGTTAGTTACAAGGTTGTTAAATGAATCTGGCTTCCCCATTGACTAAAAATCTTTTATTTTCTCTTCACTGGTTGGCCCCTGATTCTAATTTGATTCTCACAGGCAATGCAAGTATTCCTAGCTCCACCGAAGAAGGTGATTCTTACAGCCCAAAGGTGTTTTTCCAAAAGGCAATTGGACTTACTTGGTTTTTTTCTTGGAAAACATTTCACTTCACTTTTCACATTTGGAAAAGCACCTTTGGAATAAACATGATTTGGCTAGTTGAATCTCCATAAACATGAATCTTAAATGTTCAGAATATCCACAAAGGCCACTAAGATGCATCTCTGTTTCAGTACATACTAATTGCATAACATGCATGCATAAATCAAGATTGCTACATTGCCACATGCTCTAGTTACAGGATTCAGCTTGCAACTGCTAACTTTATTGGTCTTGGTTCATTATTAGTCAGGGTGGTTATCATAGAATAGGCAGGCATAGCCTAAAGTCAAATTAAGCGTAGAATAGAAAGGAATTAGGCCATCCAAAGCCAAACTTGGCATTGATCATTGCCTAGATCCTTATTTTCACAAGTAGCAGTTTCCAAAGTTCAGCACCCTTTACATGTATCATCCATAGCCAGGATGCTGCCTACCAAACTAGGATTGTAATCTAGATTTCCTGCAGTCCCGGAAATTGAAAAAACTGCTAAGGAAAACTGAGCTAATCCTCTAGTCTGGGGTTTCCAAACTTCTCTTTCCTCTGCTGCTGGCTGAGGATTTCTGGGAGTTGAAGTCCAAAAGTCTTAAAATTGCCAAGTTTGGAGATCCTGCTCCAGTCTCAGGGAATTAAGTTCAACCTTCTGTCGATGTCAGGCCATACCAGATCATGAACAGGCAAATTGCCCTAGAGCTCCAATGCTTGGTTTCCCCCCCAGTCAAAACTCTGTGTTTTGTTCCATTTGGTACCCTGCTTTTTTTCGTACCTCGGTCCAGACCACAGTGACAATGTCTGCCTTTCATTTCAAAGACTCCAAAAATTAAGAAATGAAGTAGTGACAGAAAACTGCAGCTTCACTATTACCCTTATTCCAGGATCATAAAAGCATAATATCACTTTTAGCTCTGTTGGGCTGGGGAATTCTGGGAGTTGAAGTCGACACATCTTTAAGTTGCTAAAGATTGAGAAGCACTGGGCTAGACTGATGCAGGATTGTTTATCCTCTAATTCTACTAATAGTCATCAATTTACAACAGTTCATTTAGTGACCATTCGAAGTTACAATGGCATTGGAAAAAGTGACTTATGACTCTTTTTCACACTTACAACTGTTGCAGCATCCCCCATGGTCATGTGATCAAAATTCAGATGCTTGAGAACTGAGTCATATTTATGATGGTTGCAGTATCCCGGAGTCACATGATCATCTTTTGCCAAGCAAAATCAACAGAAAGCCACATTCATCTAACAATCATGTTACTAACTACTACTAACTATAGTAATTCACTTAACAACTTAGCAGGAAAGGTCGCAACATGGGGCAAAACACATCTAGCCACTGTCTCACTTAGCATCAGAAATTTTGGACTTAATTGTGATTGTAAGTCGAGGACCACCTGTATATAACTGTAGAATTTATATATTTCCGATTAGAATTATTTTAATTCTACATAATTCTAATTGTTCTGATTTTTGACCACCACAGAGTGAATAGATCCCTTCCCACAATGGTTTTGAGAGGTTGAGTCTATCCCAATTTGTCAAGGAGCAGAATATTTTCTTTAAGGATACTGAACAAAATCTCAGTTGGATAGTCTGAATGACTTCAGTCTAACAGCAGAAGGAGAGAGATTTAAAAGTGTGGGCCTTCCCACTAATCATATTATACATTCATTGAATTTGGCAGAAAGAATCTGGCAGCCTCTCTTCTAACGAAGCTTACTAAATGTTTTAAATTGTTTACATTATTCAAAGGACTTAGTCTTTTTTCAGGATGGAAAATTCAAAACAGATTAATGTTAACTCCAGTGCTTGGGTTGATCTGGATGATATCATAAATATAAATCTATATTAGGAAAATAGTTTTCTAGACCAATTTCAACATTTATAAAATCAAATCTTTTGGCACATGCAGACTTCCTCAAACTGGTGTATTTTGAAGATTGAAAAAAAGGGCAGCCAAGTCAATTATGCCATTACTGAAGTCTATTATTTGATTTCAATGCTTTTAATATTCCTTTTGTATCATATTTTCTCCCCACTTTTTTGAACACCACAGCAGAGATACAGGTAGTTTTCAACTTACAAACATTTGTTTAGTGACCATTCAAAGTTATGAGGGCAGTAAAAAAAGTGGACTTTTCATGCTTATAATTGTTGCAGCATCCCCTGGTCACATGATCAAAATTTGGGCGCTTGGCAATTGGCAGGTGTTTATGACAATTGCATGTCCCGGGATCATGTGACCATTTGTAATCTTTCCAGCCAATGTCTGACAAGCAAAGTCAATGGGGGAAGCCAATTCCCTTAACAGCATGATTCACTTAACAACAGCTGTGATTCACTTAACAACTGTGGCAAAAAGGTCATAAAATGGGACAAAACTCACTTAACAGCTGCCTTGCTTTAGTAATAAATTTTTTTGCCTCAGTTTAGGTCATAAGTCGAGGATCATCTGTATACTCCAAGGCAGGTAAATTTGAACATTTTAAAACTGTTTTGGATTATAATTTGCAACATGTCAGTAAAGCCTTTCCCTTCGGGTGGGAATTCTGGGAGTTGTTCAGATGCTAATGGTTCCCAGGTTCGAAAAATAGCAATAGCACTTAGACTTATATATCACCTCATAGTGCTTTACAGCCCTTTCTAACCAGTTTACAAAGTCCATATATTGCTCCCAACAATCTGGTCCTGATTTTACCTTGGAAGGAAGGATGGAAAGGACCTTGGAAAGATGGAAAGTTGAGTCAATCTTGAGATGTTCAGGATCGAACTCCTGGCAATGGGCAAAGTCAGCCTGCAATACTGCTCTTTAACCACTATGCCATGATAGCTCTATGATTATATGCAATATAATGCAATATATGACATCCCCACTGCCTTCCCAAGTTAATAGAAAGGCATATTAATCTGTTGCAGCAAACTCAAAGTCTCTTCCATCAATTTAATAACAGGCTTAATAGATTCCCTAAAATGATCCCCACAAAAGCATGATAGTTTTTAAGTACCAAGATAGAAGACTCTTTGTAGCTCAGGGTTGAAATCAATGCACTGCTGAGGTTACCTAGTTTGGGCAATGACATATCTACAAGAAAAAAAAAACCAGGCTCAGAGAACACAAAGGACTCCATTGTTTTTAAAATATTATACCAATTTTGTGGTGTGTCTTGCCCCATGCAGTGATCATGAAGTCAAGAAAACTCAGCTGGGCCCAAATATTTACCCTGCCGGCAGCTCAATTTCACTGGAAGAAATCCAGATGGAATCCATACATACATATGCCCCCACTCCAGAACATTAACTACTGTATAAAAGTCCATTGGTTTGTACAAGGATACAAAAGGAGTACTAGAACCTTTGAAATCAATAAAATGTAGACTACAGTAATGTTATAATTGACTTGGCTGCCATTTTTTCAGTGTTTAGAATGCATCAGAATGCATACACCAAAGAAAACTATTTTGTTAATATGGATTTAATAGGGATTTTCTGGATCACACTTGATCTCCATCCACTGGAAGCCAGGCATGTGCAGATTAGGCCTCCCTAAATTCTCACCAGAGTAAATGCTTAGCTCCCTGCCAGGGTCGCTCTATCCCAGTGTTTCTCAACCTTGGTAGCTTGAAGATGGGTGGACTTCAATTCCCAGAATCCCCCAGCCAGCAGCGCTTTTGGATTCTGGGAGTTGAAGTCCACCCATCTTCAAGCTTCCAAGGTTGAGAAACACTGCTCTATCCAAACCGTTGGCCTCAACTTCCACCCAGATTCCTTGACTGTCTGGATGCCCTTCCAAACCCCAGGCTCTCCCCCGGGGAGACCTGCGGTGCAAGATCCGACCGAAGGCTTAGCCAGGCGGAATCCTTGCGACACTGCCTGCGGGTTCAACGAGGGGTCGTTGAGGACAAGATGGACACGCAACGAGAACCTTTTTGGTGCGGGTGGGAGGGTGGGGGAGCCGGCGAAGGCAATCGGTAAAAAGACGCCGTGGGACCCTCAAGTCTCTTACTTGAACGCTTTGCAGAGCGGAAAGTTGCGATCTTTCCAGAAAGATCAAAGGACCTCTCCAGCCTGGGAAAGAAGCGGCTAGAGATCCTAAGGACTGAAGCGCATGAGTACTCGAGAAGGACTAGCGGCTTGCAAAGTCCTCTAAGGAAAACGGAATCGAGAGGAACAGTGGAAGCCTCTAAATTGCTCGGCTAGCTATAATTTGTAACCTCCTGGGTTTTTTGAGTGGGGGGGGTGAAGTGGGTATGTGCGTGAGTTTGCAATGCCAAGATCGGGCTGGTTTTTTCTCCGATTCCTGAGCCCACGAGCTGTTGGTGACGGCGGAGGAGGAGGAGGAGGAGGAGGAGGAAGAAGAAGAAGAAGAAGAAGAAGAAGAAGAAGAAGAAGAAGAAGAAGAAGAAGAAGAAGAAGAAGAAGAAGAAGAAGGAAGGGGTTGCGCTTTGTCAAGGCTGACGGCTGATTCCTGGATCGGGTTCTCCCATCTCCCCCACCCCTTCTGCGCAAGATATCAGCAGCCCCCGGGAGGCCAGCTCCTCCCCTTACGAACACTTTCGCTTTCGCTGCCAATGCAAGCAAACTCCTGGGCCTTTTTATTATATTCCTTTCCCTTATAACGCACGTGTCAGCACAGCTGGCAACTCTCCTGCAGCACCTCCGCTGGCGAGGAAGATAGTATCGGCACTGAACAACGTTCCCCTACTCCCAGACCCCAGAACAACTACTTCCCTCCCGGGACGCGGAGCGCTTCCTCTACCTGCCCGCGTCGCATCTCTGCAGGTAAGCCAGGAGGTCCTTTCTTGCTAGCCAGGAGGTTCAATTCTCCCGCCCCGTTCCTTCGAGTGGGGTGTCTCGAGAAGGGGAAAAGCAGGGGCTGCCGCCACTTTCGTTTTCGGGGAGACGGAGCGGGGAACCTTCCGGGGAATATCAAGGGCTGCGTCCTGACTAGGATAGCGGGCGGGGGGCTTCGGGGAGTCTTTTCTCATAAACTCGGTGAGTTGGAGTTGGGTGCTTGGGACGCGCGGGGCACCTCCTCTGCGGCTTGGTTTAGTCCTCTCCCAACCCCAACTCAGGAATTTGGGGTTTTCTTCAGGAGAACTGCCTGCTGGATAGGTTTGTTTTGGCTGCAGGGGTAGGCGGCTGAACATGGGGACGAGGGGCTGAGGGGCTGGGGCTGAGAGTCCTGATTTCTGAGAATCCGCCCCCTGATGAACTTCCTAGGCTCCTAGGGCGCTTATATCGGTGATGGGGCTGAGCCCTCATTTTTAAGGGGTTCTGGACAGAGCATCCTCATGTGGCCGCAGATATTGGAGAGGAGTTTCCCATGGACAGCTCCGTTTTCCAGTCAAGTGAAATTCTGCAGCAGCCCTATTTTTCCCTGTTTCTGGTGCTTTGCTGGTGTTTTTTTTTTTTTTTTAATTACATAATGAAACAGAACTTTTCCTAGTACAGGTAGTCCTCAACTTACAAGAGCTCAAAGTTACAACACACTGAAAATGATTTATGACCATTTTTCACACGATTTTTGCAGCATCCCCATGCTCTCGAGATCAAAATTAGGATGCTTGGCAACTGACTCATATTTATGTGTCCTGGCTTCATGCGATCCCCTTTTGCAGCCTTCTGACAAGCAAAATCAATGGAGAAGCCAGATTCACTTAACATCCATGTTACTAACTTAATGACTGCGGGGATTCATTTAACACTGGCAAGAAAAATTGTAACAATTGTCTGCTTAACAACATAAATTTTGGGCTCACTTATGGTTGTAAGTTGGGGACTACCTGTACTTAAATTGTAGTGATGCTTTACTACCTACAAAGGAGAAAAAATTGGGGTGTTTATATGTATCTCATCAAGCCATCTAAGGATGAGTGAAGGATGATTAGAATTCTAACACTGTCTGTTCCTCCCCCACATTCTTTTTGTGCTAAATTTTTGCAAGGCAGTTTTGCAAAGGTCCCCAAGGCCCAGTATAAGTGAAAAGGGTGGAGAGAATGTCCCTTCTTTTTTTCCCCCTTATTTATATGAAGGTTTCGAAAAACAATTATCAAAAGCTGCGCTGCTGTCTCAGCTGACCTATAACGAACAGCAAAGAAAATTTTCCTCTCTCTGCCAGCGAAAGTGTGATTGAAATGACTTTTGCCTTATACTTTGCAGTAGTATTTGATTAATGCGGTTGATATCATGAATGATAACTGTGTGAACGGATGTACTGAGACTGCATATCATGTAAACAGTGTAATCTGCCAGTGTATAAACAGAAAAATTCTTTGTAATTGAGATTATTTTGACATGGAAACTGTTTTGGTGGTTTGTGTGGGATCAAAGCTAGTTTAGTAAGGGTTTCGGGAGGGATTTTAGTTTTTTTCTCACTATTTAAAAACAATCCCTTTTAATTTTTTTGGGTTGGAGACATAATCCTCCATTTACTGGTGCTAAGTCAACAAACCTTGGTTGGTCTTGAAAAATAAGCAGAACCAGACCTGGAAAAGACTAGGAGGAAAATCCCAGGATTACAGGGTAGAGTGGAAGCTGGGACAGTGATGGGGGGAGGGAAGAAGACAACTGACAAATTACTTCTAGAAGTCATTACTTCTGCTTAGAAAACTAGTGAACATGTCCATAATGTTATCAGGAGACAATTTGAAAGATAGGATTTTTTAAAAATACATTTTTCAGAATCTTCCAGTTTAGTAGAATGTGATGCTCCATATACCTGGAGCCCAAGGAAGTAAAGAAAATAAAAACCATTAGGTATTAAAGATATGATTTAGTGTGGGGAATTCTTGGAGTTGGGAGTTGAAAAACACTGCCCTGTCCTTTTTGCAATCTTCTAAAAATGAAATAGTTTCAGTTTGCCTTTTATTCACTTAGGAAATATATACCTTATTATTAATAATCTATTATATTCCCACATTTTATGATAATTTAATATCCTAGCTGTTGTGAATCATCCAAAGTTTTTTGTATCATCAAAGTTGTTTGATGGTACACATTATTCTTTATTTTATTTTTTCCATGTCCCTGCAGAGTTTCGCTTGGCACCATCTGAGTTCCCTGCTGAACTTATTTTCCCCACCTTTTTAAAAAAAAAAAAAGTGTTTGGTAAAAATAGAAAAGGGTGTTTTACTTCAAAATAAAACACCAGCCTAACATTACCTTTTTTAGAAAATAAAAATGATGGTTGGATGCAGCCCAATATAAATGTTCCCAATATCTCCCTGGGTGGGTGGGTGGGAATAAAGGTGAAGAGGGCATTTGGACATCTCCTGGGTTCGGTAGATTTTGGTAAATTTGGAACTGCTCATGCTATTTAATGAGGGGATTAGTTTTTGCGAGAGCGCTTATAATTTGCTCTTATAATTTTAAATTGGTTCCCCAGCCTCTTGGCTTTCCTGCAGGTTTGTGGACAGAAAGTTTTATGTTGAATCTCTGAAATTTCTAATAAAAGGAGCTGCTGGTAAATATCCTGTCCAGACATTTGATGAACAATTTGGAGAAATTCATGCAATAGATCGAGGGCTAGATCACTGTTTCTCAATGTTGGCAACTTGAAGTTGTGTGGACTTCAACTCTCACAATTCTCCAGGTGGAGAATTCCACACATCTTAAAGCTGCCAAGGTTGAGAAACACCGGGCTAGGTAAGTAAAGGAAATAATTCAGTATTCAACAGGTTCATATATTTATTAGTTTGTTTGTCAAACATGTACAGGATAACAAGCATAGCAGTGGTGGGTTTCAAAACTTTTTACTACCGGTTCTGTTGGAGTGGCTTGGTGGGTGTGGCATGGCTTAGTGGGCATGGCTTGGTGGATGTGGCAGGGGAAGGATACTGTAAAATCTCCATTCCCACCCCACTCCAAGGGAAGGTTATTGCATAATCTCCATTAAGAGCCGAGGTGACGCAGTGGTTAGGGTGCAGTACTGCAGCTACTGCAGCTGACTGCTAGTTCAGCAGATCAGCGGATCAAATCTCACCGGCTCAAGGTTGACTCAGCCTTCCATCTTTCTGAGGTGGGTAAAATGAGGACCCAGATTGTTAGGGGGCAATATGCTATTTAGAATACTGTCTTTGGTGTAAGCCGCCCAGAGTCCTCGGAGAGTGGGCAGCATAGAAATATGACTAATAAATAAATAAATTTCCTCCCGATCAGCTGGGACTTGGGAAGCAGAGAATAGATGGGGGCGGGGCCAGTCACAATTTTTACTACCAGTCAGAATTTTTACTACTGGTTCTCCAAACTACTCAAAATTTCCGCTACCAGTTCTCCAGAACTGGTCAGAACCTGCTGAAACCCACCTCTGAAGCATAGGTATGAACATAAGCATAAACAAAGGAAGTAAATACAAATAATTGTGGACCATAAGACAGGGATGGTAGGCACCAGAGATGGGTTTCAGCAGGTTCTGACCAGTTCTGGAGAACCGGTAGTGGAAATTTTGAGTAGTTCGGAGAACCAGTAGTAAAAATTCTGACTGGCCCCGCCCTCATCTATTCTCTGCCTCCCAAGTCCCAGCTGATTGGGAGAAAATGGGGATTTTGCAGTAGCCTTCTCCTGGAGTGGGGTGGGAATGGACATTTTACAGTATCCTTCCTCTGCCACGCCCACCAAACCATGCCTACCAAGCCATGCCACGCCCACCAAGCCAACCCACAGAACCGGTAGTAAAAATAATTGAAACCCACCACTGGTAGGCACGCTGCTGTGCTTATGCACGCCCCCTTTACGGACCTCTTAAGAATGGGGTGAGGTCCACGGTAGACAGTTTGAGGTTGAAGCTGTGAGGGTTTGAGACAACAGAATCTGGTAGAGCATTCCAGGTGTTGACCACTCTGTTGCTGAAGTCGTATTTCCTGCAATCGAGTTTGAAGCAATTTACCTTGAGTTTGTATCGATTGTTTGCCTGTGTACTATTGTGGTTGAAACTGAAGAAGTTGTTGACAGGTAGGAGACAATTTTATTTATTTATTTATTTATTTTATTTAGTTTGTCAAACATGTACGAGATAACAGGTATTAGTATAAACATGGACATGAACACAGGAAATGAGTATAAATAAATGGGGACAGTAGGACAGAGTCAATAGGGACGCTGGTGTGCTTATGCACACACCCTTTATAGACCTCTGAGGTCCATGGTAAACAGTTTAAGGTTGAAGCTATGGAGGTTTGAGGATGTAACAACGGAGTCAGGTAGAGCATTCCAGGCATTGACCACTCTATTGCTGAAGTTGTATTTTCTGCAATCGAGTTTGGAGCCGTTTACCTTGAGTTTACATCTATTGTTTGCCCATGTATTATTGCAATCGAAGCTGAAGTAGTCATTGACAGGTAGGACGTTGTAGCAGACAATTTTGTTTGCTTAGGGCAGACAGTAGGCGGCATAGTTCAAGGTTGTCCAAGCCCAAAATTTCAAGTCTGGTGGCATAAGGTATTCTGTTGTAAGCAGAGGAATGGAGTACTCTTCTCGTGAAATACCTCTGGACCCATTCAATTGTATTAATGTCCGATATACAGTGTGGATTTCAGGCAGACGACCTGTATTCGAGGACTGGTCTGGCAAAGGTTTTGAATGCCCTATTTTGCAGTACAGTGTTACCACAGAAGAAGCTTAACAAACCTTAATGCCTTTTTGGCAATGCTGTTACAGTGAACTCTGGAGCTTAGATCATCTGATATGAGTACTCCTAGGTCCTTGACAGAGTGAGGGTTATCTACGAGGTCGTATCCACTCAGCTTGTATTTGGTGTTCGGATTTTTTGTTGCCAATGTGTAAGACAGAGCATTTGTTAGTTGAGATTTGGAGTTGCCAATTGTTTGACCATTCTGTCACATAGTCAAGGTTGCTTTGTAGGGCAGCAGTATTGTTGGTGGTGTTAAATATTTTTATGTCACGTGCCAAAAGTGGGGGGAGCATGGAGGGGGGGTCACACATGCATGCACGGGGGTGGGGCACGGGGCGCCTTAGAATTATGGGTGTGGCCACACACACACGACTCCCCCTGCACGACCCCCGTTTTTGGCACGCGATGGCAAAAAGATTAGCCATCACTGGTCTAAGGGAAGGAGAAAGAAGGAATGGGTTAGAAGATGGACATATTAAATGCTTTAAAATGCCTACTTAGAACTTGTATGAGAAAACTCTAGAAGATCCTACATTCAGAAGAGGGAAAAATTACCTTCTTGATCCTCAATTTATGATCACAATTGAACCCAGAATTCCCATTGCTAAGTGAGGCACCACATTTTTATGATTTTTTTTTTTTTTTTGCCATAGCTGCTAAGTGTATCACTGCAGTTCTTATATGAATTAGGGGGTCATTAAGCGAATCTGATTCTGACAACCTTTGATTTGGTTGTCAGAAGCCGGCTAGGGAAGGTTATAAATGGTGGTCATATGACCCCATGTCATAAATACATGTCAGTGGCCAAGTGCCCAAATTTTGATCACAGGACCATGGGGGCACTGCAACAGTCATAAATGTAAAAAAAAAAAAGCTCATAAGTCACTTTTTTTCACTGCTGTTGTAACTTCTAACAGTCACTAAACAAATGGTCATAAGTGGAGAACTACTTGTATTGTTGCCAAGAAAAAGAACAATGAACTGTCCACATAGTCTCCAGTTCAGATTTGGCTTATGCTCTTCAGTTAAAATATTGCCGGTAATTTTAACCTGTAAACTGATCTTCTGCAGCAAGTGGCAGACTAAATCACACTTTTCTTATGTGGCCCATGCAAAAGCTTTTGAAACTAATTTATAAAAAGGAAGTTGTATAGAGGTTAGTCTTCAACTTATGACCAAAATTGATGCCCAAAATTTCTGTTGCTAAGGGAGACTTTTGTTAAGTGAGTTTTGCCAAAGTATGCAACCTTTCTTGTTACAGTTTTTAAGTGAATCATTGCGCTTATTAAATTGGTAACCCGATTGTTAAGCGAATCTGGCTTCCCCATTGACTTTGCTTGTCAGAAAGTTGCAAATGGGGATCACAGGACCCTGGGGACCTTGCAACCGTCATAAATATGAATCATATGCCAAGCATCTGAATATTGATGACATGACCATAATGGTAACGGTTATAAGTGTGAAAAGTAGTCATGTCACTTTTTTTCAGTGCTGTTGTAACTTCAAACGTTCACTAAATGAACTGTTGTTAGTTGAGGACTACTTGTACTGAATATATTTAATTGCATAGTCTTTTGCGGCTTAATCTTCTCAACATGCTTTCTTTTATTCCAGAACCCTTTTCCCGCCTTTTTAAGGGGAGACCTCAGCATGCTGGCCACCTACCAAATTACATGGAGATGATTTCGTATCATGGAACTCCAGATTCCTCTGAGGTAAGTCAAATGATATAAGTTGATGACAGCTGTCTGCTGTTGCTTGTCCGTCAGAGGTGGTAAACTACAGGTCCCAGAATTTCTGGACAGCACGGCCAGTGGAATTCAGGGAGTTGTATTCCTTTTTTAATATTTTTATATTAATATTTTCTTAATACAAAATACAAATGAAAATAGTGGGGGAAATCGGTAAAGGGAAAAGGAAAAAAGTGGGGGGGAAGAAAGAAAAAAGGAAAAAGTGTCTTCCAACTTTTTTGGTGCAGCAGATTATATATTAAAAATTATAATCTCAATTTTTAATATAAGATTAGTATTAGCCATTTCTATAACAAAAACCTATTCAATCATAAAAACGCAAAGTTAGAATTTCATTTCCCCCCCTCTTTTGAGCGGGAAGTCCAGGAAGGTTTCCAAATGGAAACAAATTTAGATACATTCTTATCTCTAATTAAGACAAATAATTTTGCCATCTCTACTAATTCCATCACTTTTTCAATCCATGGAATTGACATACCTTTCCATTTTTGTGCATATAAGATTTTTGCTATAGTCAGCACCAGGGATGAAATTCAGCAGGTTCTGCTGAATTTCTGAAATTCTGAAATTCTGACAGGTTCTGGAGAACCAGTAGCGGAAATTCTGAGTAGTATGGAGAACCGACAAATGCCACCTCTGGCTGGCCCCAGAGTGGGGTGGGAATGGAGATTTTGCAATATCCTTCCCACAGGAGTGGTGAGGGAATGGGGATTTTGCAGTATCCTTCCCCTGGAGTGGGTGGGAATGGAGATTTTGCAATATCCTTCCCCTGCCATGCGCACCAAGCCACGCTACCAAACCACGCCACGCCCACAGAACTGGTATTAAAAAAAATTGAATTTCACCACTGGTCAGCACATATAAATAGCAAAGTTCCTTTTTTTTTTCAAGTTCTTTATTCAGTAGTCCTAAAAGAAAATTTACAGATTTTGATTATATATTCATTTTCTGAATCTTGGGGAGCTGTATTCCTGACATGTTTGCAGAGTCCTAGCTTCCAAAAAGCTTCTGTATTGCAAACTACTCTTGTATTTTAAAAAGGATTCAGAAAGAAGAGGGAAGTTAAGATTGTCAGAACGCTGGAAGCTAAATTCTATGAATGGTGAAAAGAATCAGGGATGTTTATGTATGTGTTTTATTGTTTGGCTGTGCACCGCCCTGAGTCCTTCGGGAGTAGGGCGGTATAGAAATCAAATAATAAATAAATAAAATAAATAAATGTTTAGCTTTAAGAAACAAAGAAATCTTTGTCTGGAGGTTAACATCTGTAGATGCACATAAAACAGTTCAGTTCTCAACCATGTTAACCCCTCCATCTTGATTTTTTTAATCTCATCTCACCCTACAGATACTCTTGATTCTCCTGTATTGTTTCCAGGCTATAGAATTCTCATGCTTTGATTCTCATTTTCTATCTTTTGCAAGAATTACAATTGGCAATCCTTTTTTAAAGCATCTTGCACACAGGTGCCCCTAAAAGTGATCAAAGCACATTTCTTTTCTCAGACTTTTAAGCATTGTTGTTATTAACATTTTTTTCTCTATTCTTTGATTTTGTATTTTCCTTCTGCAAGTTAAACTAGGAACGAGAGATTCTCAAGACAGAAATTTGGTGATGTCAACAAGTGAAAGTCACCTAGTGAAAAGATTTAAAAGTACAAAGCTAAGCAAGCACCCAATAAACCATGAAAAAAAATCTGGGTATAAGAAAGAGTTCTACTTCATTTGGACAATTGATTAGAGTGGTTACTTCCTAATCACAAAGAAGATTTTTGTCTAACGGAGCCCCATCTAAGTAGTTTCTGCTGAGACAGGTGGTGGTTTGATTTGCTTGCAGACTTCAACAGAACAAAAAAACTGGATTAAACATAGAGTAAAATAAATATTAATCAACTAATCCACCTCCCACACATTCTTCAAGCTTTATTAACTGTGAACAGGACATTCTAATATAAAATTAAGTAATCTAATAAAGCCACAATAAATAAATAAATAAACTAATTTATAGGCAACTCATCTAGTTTAACCCTCCAAGAGCATCTTTGGAAACCACATTATCACTTAACATAGTATGTAATTTAACTATTTCATAGACATTTGCTGGATTTACATGTTAAATTTAGTCAGAAGTTTTGTAGATTAATATGTGAGAATCCAGCCGGAAGTAGTCTATTACCATAAAGCTGACTAATCAACTGACTAAAATAGATTAAAACTGAAAAATATTGTTGAGTGTCACAATTTCTGAACCCAACACTGTATTAAACCACTTTAGATCTCCTTTTAGTAGGGAGGAAGTGGCAATGAAAAATGTAAAATAAAGCTTGAAACTTCCTTTTCTGAAAAAACATATGCTGATAGAACAATCCATTACCATCATTTTATCCATGTGGAAACTTTGCAAGATGAATAGGCTGGTCTTGGAATTAGCTAACTTTAATTCTAAGGCTAAGCTAGTGACTTCCATGCCTGAGTATTAATTGAACCCAGGACCTTTCCACAAATATTCCCAGGATTAAAACAATTTAGGATCTAGACTCAAATAACAGTTTGAAGAAGTATAAAGTGTTATTAGTGCACTCCTGATGTGTAAAAAGTTATTTTGATTGACACAGGAACATTGATCCCACAAAAATTCCCATGAGGAGTTACATTAGGTCACACATTTCAAGTGCTTTGTTGGCAGCAATGAAATTGTTCTCCAAAGTGGTATCCTTAAGACATATTTGGAATAGACTTCTGTCCCCAAGTTAGGAATTGCTGATCCATCATGCCAGTATTTCAAAACTACTAGGTATTGTCTAATTTATTTATTTTTTATAAATAAAAGCAGGAAAGAAGAATACTTGTTTGGAATGGTTCTCTGAATGAAAAACACTCTTAAATATTTGCAAAAGAGATTATCTTGATCTACAAAACAAGGATGGCATTCAGGAAGGACTTCAGAAGCCTATGGATGAGATAAGAGGAATAAAATCAGGAATGTACCAGTAGAAGAGAATATACGTAGCTCGGAGTTGAAGTGTAGAGTCCCTGATGCTCTCTGAGCTTGAAGATGTTACCTATTTAGAATAGAATAGAATAACAGAGTTGGAAGGGACCTTGGAGGTCTTCAAGTCCAACCCCATGCTCAGGCAGGAAGCCCCTATACCATTTCAGACAATGGTTGTCCAATCTCTTCTTAAAAACTTCCAGTGTTGGAGCATTCACAACTTCTGGAGGCAAGTTGTTCCACTGATTAATTGTCCTGATTGTCAGGAAATTTCTCCTTAATTCTAGATTGGATCTCTCCTTGATTAATTTCTATCCATTTGAATAATAAAACATCTGCAAGAAACCAACCAAGCTCAGAGAGCACGAAGGACTCAACTCAGGAATAGTTTTTTTTATTACTGTAATTAAAATATTCAGTAAACCTGATGTAGAGATACATAGATATAGATAAAAAGGAATGTGCCAATTGTCTCCTAGGTCTTGCTGCTCCTATTGCTGTTTTTCTCCCCATTTGGGCCACTCAAGGGCTGCAGTTTTAATTATTCACCCATCGCTACTTCTGACTTTTCCCAGGATATAAAACCACTGGTAAGTATGAATACATTGCATAGTTCAGCAGGCTGCCAACCCCATTTGGTAGAACAGAGCAGGAAATCACCCCCATGGAAGATTAAATCTATCTTTATTGACACTGGCTATAATTTATTTATTTAACAAACTTTTTTTTTTAAAAAAATCATGTTTTATTTGCAGTTTTCCTTTCACACCATACATATTTTGTGGACAGTATATTGACTGGGTCAATGTCCTTTTTAAACAATGCTAACAATAATAATACAAATAAGTATGCATAATCCTAATCTTCCAACTTCAACAATACCATTTTCTCTTCATAATTCTTTATCATTTTTCCCATTAATTAATTTAAACATCAATAACATTTATTTGCCCCCTGTATTTGTTATCCCATACTAAGTCATTAATATTTAATATTTTAAAAATTACTCATTATTCCACCATAATTTCAATATGCCAAATGTCTATGACTACTAATAAGACCAAATATTAACAAAATTTAATCAATCCCAGGATTATATCTATAGGCCCCACAATTTCTAATCCTTAAAAGTATAAATAAATAAATAAATAAATTAACAATATATTTTAACACAGTTAATATTAATATATAATTAGATTATCTAATCCTAAACTTCCACCTTCTAACCTTATCTTATTTTTAATTCAAATAAATTCTATTATCATCTCTTAACCTTTTCGGAGTTCCATCATTTGTTGACTTTTTGATCACCCTTTTATTTATTTCTTTTAAAATCTTATAACTTTTTTTGATATTTTTATTCCCACTAAGTATTCCCTTTGTGTTGCCCTTTGTCTCTTTCTGCTGTATCATTTGAGCACCCATCAATAAGTCTTCCTTTCTTTCTTTTGAAGAGATTTTCCCCCCAAACCTTTCTTTCTTTTTTGAAGATATTTTTCTTTTCTTTTTTCTCTGTTCTATTATAAACTTTTAAGGAATTATCTACCAGTATTTGATTCCTACTTATCAATCCTTTCTCTTCATTATCTTTATCTTCTTGCATCTCCTTTTGATTTTTCTCTTCCACTGCTTCTTCTAATTTGTCATCTATTTTCTGAATATCATGTTCATCTTTTCCCCCCACTCATTTCTTTATCTTTAGATAATCCCCTTGTCTACTTATTGTTCATCAAAATTATTTCTTCATAAACCTCTATTATCCCCTGATAATCCATTTTGTAACAATTCGATAAAAAATGCTCAATATACCTCTATGGTTCCAATGTCTCAATGTTTAAAAACTCCAACAGAGCCAATTATTAATAGGATTTAGTCAATCCCATAATTATACCTCCAAATCCCCTAAATGTATAATCTTTAAAGTTCTTTAGTATTTTACAGCCTTTTGGTTTTCCAGTTATTTGTCTTCCCAATTGTCCAAATTTTAAAGTCTTATTTAACTTTTCTTCTTTTCTCATTTCTTCTATCACCTTTCTTCTTTTGCCTCGTAGAATGTTCTGTCAAATAGCCTTAATAATCCTAACTCTGTTGAAACTGGTTATTGGACTGTGGATTTGAAAGGTTGGAGGAAACCTAGTGGATTAATTTGGATTTGGATAATTTAACAAATTTATATGGCTGCCCATTTCAGGAAAAAAAAAAGGACTCTCAGTGGTGTAGAACAATTAATTAAAATAAATATATAAAACAATTATCCAATTTTCAAAATATACAAAATAATTACAAAATCACACAAGCCTAATTGTGTTGTATTTCCCCCAAACATCCTATACCCCTGAGAATCAGGGAGGTGCCTTTCTGAGTCACTTCTGAATATTAACCTTGTTTCTCAGGCCTTAAAAATGTTTCAACCCCTTTTGCCTAGAATAGATCATGGTTTTTACATATCCCTATCAAGGTCATCTTCCTTACTCTGCACATCTTTTCATTCTTGTTTTTACTTCTATCAATGACAGAAATGCAAGTGCTGGTGATAGTGATGAAAAATTATACAGTCAATCCCCAAAACATGTTTGTAGAAATGACGCACTGTCCCTTATTTTGTGTGGAGTTTTTTCGGGAAAGAACTGAAACCCTGAATAATTAAAATATAATCATCGTGCTGGCCACATGTCCAGGGAAATGTCTTGGGACAAAAGCTGGCTTCCGCAGCTAAGAAACGGAGATGAGCAGCGCCCCCTGGAGTCAGACAGGAAAACATTTACCTTTTTACCTTTATAGTTATGTTCTCACCTTGGGCCTCTGCAAAACAACTGCAACTCATCCTTCCCTTTTGAGTCCCCAAAATAGAAAGATAAGGAACAAATCAGAAAGTGACAAAGAAAGCTGAAATGCGTAAAAGAGAAAAGCAGTTGTAAATTCCATCTTGTCAAAAGTTTAGGATTTACATTTGTTAAGGCAAACTTAAATTTAAAGCATTAGTTATGGCACCACACAAAATTGAGCTACATCATTCTACCCTGATGTCGCGCTCTCCAAACCTGTTGGACTACTCATTCCATCATTCCCAGCCAGGAGGGCAATTACTTGTGATCTAGGAATTAAGGGTACTTTATTTCCACTCTTCAGCCTACCCATGGAACTGAAATATAAGGAGCATCTAATTTAATGGCACCTTACAAGTAGTCCTTATGACTGACTGCTTAGCAACTGATCAAACTTACAACAGAGTTCCTTAAGGGTACTTATGACTTAGTTCCAAAAATCATTCCCCCCTGTGATCACATGACCATGCGTTACTCAATAACTGACCCATACAGGTAGTGCTTGACTTACAACAGTTCATTTAGTGACTGTCCAAAGTTACAACATCACAGAAAAGTGACTTATGAACATGTGATCATAATTCAGACTGCTGGCAACTGACTCATATTTATGACCTTTATAGTGTCCTGGAGTCATGTGATCCTCTTTTACGACCTTCTGACAAGCAGAGTCAATGGGGAAGCCAGATTCACTTAACAACTATGCTATTAACTTAACAACTGCTGTGGTTCACTTAACAGCTGTGGCAAGAAAGATCGTAAAAAGTGAGCAAAACTCACTTAACAATGTCTCACTTAGCAACATAAATTTTGAGCTTATTGTGGTCATAAGTCAAGAACTATCTGTATTTTCAGCTATTTGCAGCATCCTATGGTCATGTTTTATGATGGTTTTGCCAATAGCTATCATTTACTCCTGGTTTTTGGCAAAATCGGCCAATTGATTTACTTAACAACTTTCTTAGAATGGTGACAGTCACTTTAACGACCACAACGTTTGCTTAACGACCATGGCGGTTGTTTAAACACCAGCACACAGAAGGTCTTAACATTGAGTTTCTCACATGGATAATCTGATTTATGATCATCACGACCATAATGGAAGGTCATAAGTTAAAAGTTATCTGCAATCTTGTCTTTCTCTTTCTCTCTCCTCAGAAAGAATATTTGCTCTTGGACTACAAAGTATCGATGCCGTTCAATCTGAAACCGGTACAGTCTTTATGGCAGCTTTTACCTCAGGGGTGAGGAACTATGGCCCTTTTACCATCTGTGAAGTTCAACTCTCAGAATTCCTAAGCCTGGCTGGCTCAGGAAACCTAGGAGTTGAAGTTCAGAGATCGTAAAAGGGCCATAGTTCTCCAGCCCTGCTTTACATGAATACTTTCACATTTCAATGAAATCAACAACATTGATCGTTCTACTATTCATGAAAATAGCGAAACCTCTTTCATGGGACTGCCCATGGCACATTAGCTAAAGATGACAGGTCAACCTCCAACAAATTTCCTGCCACAGAACTGAGAATATAGCCTGCTGTTGAAATAAGATTCTTGTATCTAGCCAATATTTTGTAGGAGGAGGGAGGTTCAAAGTTGGTGGGGTTCAATTTGGAAATGCTTTGGAGGTGTTTTTTTTTTAATTAATATGCCTATTTTAGGCATCTGGTATGCTAAGGCAAAGAAAATCCATTCTTGCAATTGTTTTGGGCTACTAATATTCCTTGCGTATGTCCATGACGGGGTAATGGGAAATGAAGTCTTCAAGGATCCTTAACATCGTTTACATATCCGTTGAATGTTCCTGGTTTAAACTTTGGCCTGTCCCGCCACATCTGTGAAAGTCTTGTCTCAAATAACTGAAAAGCTTCTGCTAGTGACTCCTGATCAGTCTTGTGGAGGCTTCCAACCAGGGGTGAATTGCTACCGGTTCGGTCTGGTTCGTCCTAACCGGTAGTAAAAAGGGCTACTGGTTTGCCGAACCAGTAGTAAAAAATGTATTTAAAAAAAAAGTTCTGACGATCAGCTGACTGATGCACGATCGTGGTAAGATTTTTTTTTTTTACTTTTTTAGCATTTTTTTACTGTCAGTTCTCCGGAAACGGTAGTTAAAAATGCTTTAAAAAGTAAAAAAAAAAAAAAAGTTCCGAAGATCGTGCGTTGCTCAGCTGATCGTCGGAACTTTCTTTTTCTTACTTTTTAGGCATTTTTTTTACTACCGGTTCTCTGGAACCGGTAGTAAAAAATGCTTTAAAAAAGTTTTTAAAAAAGGCTCCGACGATCACAGTTGTGCCGTGCGATCATCAGAGCCCTTTAAAAAAAATTTTAAAATATTTTTTAACAACCTATTCAGCGAATAGGTTGTAAAAAATGCTTTTAAAAGTTAAAAAAAAGGCTCTGAAGATCACACGCCCTGATCACCCCCCTTGCACGCTGTTCTACTTACCCCATGTCTCCTTTTGGTGTGCACTGCACATGTGTGTGTGGTGCACACTGCGCATGCGTGTGCACAGTGCACATTTGGCATGCGGTGCACATGCGCAGCCGCAAACTGGTAGTAAACCAGTTCAGATTTCCCCACTGCTTCCAGCTATGTAGAAAGAGCTCCCAAACTGACTGGAAAATCATGTCTTTTGGTTAAGAACCAGTGTTTTGACTCAGTAATGTACCAAAATGGTCCACAGAGTGAACTTTTTCCTTTAAGTGAGCATAGAGATACAGATCTCACATTATGATATGCCTCTGGATATAGGGTTTTAATATGATTTTCATCTCCCATCTTGGATTCTGCTTAAATAAAATGTTCTTGGTAGCCAGGCTACCAGATTTGGTCTGCAATGATATAGAGAACCACTAGATAGCAGCAATGAACCCAGATTTTCTGTGTCTCTCTGTTCCCATCAAGAGGGAATCCAAAGGTTTGCAACCCAAGTGTCATAGTCTTGGTTTATAATGAGGGTACAATCTTTTTTCTTCTTTTTGGTCTCATGTTTTCTCTGCACCCCATCTCCATTTGTATTCTCCAGGACATATTCTGCAGTGTGTTATGGGACCTTCATTTCATCAATGAAAACTTAAAGAAATTAATCAACGTGTCTGGGAAAAGACTGAAAAAGTTATTCGAGAAATTATATGATCACACAAAATTTGTTGAAGATTGTAATATTGAAGTAGTAAGTTGAAGAACTTTGTTTAGAGTGCTTTGGAATACAATACAAGTCATTCCTATTTTAATCACAATTTAACCTAATTTGTCTTGTCCTAATGGCTTAGAACAGACTGCAATCAAAATTTATATTTTTTAAAAAATGCAGTGTTAATTTAGATCAGAACCAAGAAAAGTGGGAAGACTTAAATTAATCCAGGGCTCTAACAGTGCTAAACAAAGTATGAATACTTCTGTGCGTATTCCTTGTCTGACAGGAATATTTGTATCTACATGGTCACTAAGAGCCAACACCAGCTTGACAGCTTTTAATCAAAATGAGGGAAAAAGGAACTCTGAATTTTTTTCTTACCCTATTTTTGGGGTGGGAGAAAATGGGAAAGTATCTGAATTTATTTAAGTTCCTTTTTTCTGGCTGGAAGAGAAATTCCTCCCTTCCTTTGAGAGACACATTTTGTTACAGGTAATCCTCGACTTACGATCACATCAGAGTCCAAAATTTCCGTTGCTAAGCAAGATGGTTAAGTCGAATGAGTTGTGCCCCATTTTACAACCTTTTATGCCACACTTGTTAAGTGAATCACTGCAGATGTTAAATGAATCATGTGGTTGTTAAGTAAAACTGGCTTCCCACATTGGCTTTGCTTGTCAGAAGCCAGTTGGGTGATGATCACATGACCCAGGGACAATGCAACTGTCATAATTACATGCCAGTTGCCAAGCACCTGAATTTTGATCATGTGACTTGTGGAGATGCTGCAATGGTAGTAGGTGTGAAAAATGGTCATAAGTCATTTTTTTCAATGCCTTTGTAATTTTGAATGGTCACTAAATGAATGGTTGTAAGTCAAGGACTACCTATATTTGTTATGCCTGTTTCTACAAGTGGGTTCATTTCATTTTGAAGCAAAAACTGCTGAGCATTTCCAGAATCAACCCTAACCCCACTGTGTAGTGTACAATTGGAGGGGATCTTTGAGATCATCTAGTCCAAAGTGATTACTATTTGCAATAAATAGCATCACCATAAAGTAGGTCTTAAGCTGGAAATTGCTGTCAAGCCCATATCCTACAGTTTGCATTGCTGTTTTTAAAAAGAATTTTATTAAACTTCAAATATAAAAAAATAAAAATGTTGCAACAAAAAGGAGAAAAGTGTGGGGGGGGGACAACAGGAACATTTAAAAAGTAATATTAAAAAACCCTCCAAAAATAACAGGAAAAAAAGTTACTTCCAACTCTCTTCAGTTCAGATAAAGTTGTAAGGCAAAACAAGATAACTTTTGTTTTAGTTTAACAAAGAGATACGAAACTAAAATATAAAAGATACACATACCATACCCAACAATCAAATAATAACAATGCTCTCTTAGTCTAAATGTGTGGCATGGTGGCCTAGAGGTGTTTATCACGGTACAAAGGGAAAATATTTGCTACAAACTTGGTTTAGGCGTCAGGAAGGGCATCCGGACAGTAAATGCTGTTCTGCCCCAGCTACAGATCTCAAAGAACACAGCACACACAAACTCTGAAAAAAACTTAGTTTACTCAAATAACACAGTTTTAGCAATTGTCGGGTGTTAATAAGCGTTCTTAACAGCCTGCCAAAATTCCACAGATAAGATAGTCAGAGTCTTACTGAAGTTGACAAAAAGCCCAGAAGCAAGGTTGCAGAGAAATCCCAATGCGATGATTAGCGAACTAAAGTTGTTTCCTGCAGCTTGTTGCAAGCTGCATTCTTTCTTAAATAGGCTAAGGGAGTGGTCAGTTAGCCCCAAACCTTACTCTCGAGGAGACCTCCTCCTGAGAACCACTCCTGCCTTTTGGCAGCTCTGCGTGCCCATGCATTGAGAAGAGGCTCCTCCTCTTCATCCTCTTCACTTGAAGGAGCCTCTGGAGGTTCTGAAGGCCCTGACTGGATCTCTGCCTCTGGCACCACATCTTCTTCAGCCTCCTCGCTGTCCGACTCGAGCACCAGCTACACAGCACCACACCAGCCTCCTCGTCGTCGGGATCAGCAACAATCCGTGCAGGCCGCTGGAGGGCCACAACACACTCAGTCACTCGGATTCTACCCTGAATAAACAGATTACAGGGTTGTAAAACTCTCTTAGTCTAAATAAAACATATAGCCCATAAATGCATCATAATATCAATTCCACAAATACACATAGTATTATTAGTTATTTCTATTAAAAAATATCTATAATAACACATCCTTTACTTCAGTGGTTCTCAATCTTTTCTTCATCATAGACCCCCTTTAAATACCTTTTGTGACCATAGACTATGGCCACAGATCCCCAAGATTTAACTTAAATTATAACATTTCTTTAAGCCTTTGTGGACCCCCTGTGATGGCATTGTGGCCCCCAGGGTTCCGCAGACCACAGGTTGAGAATCACTACTTTACTTCAAATGGAAACAAATGCATAAAAAGCCCAAATAAAATGTGTATCTATTAAACTCCAGCAGCACACATTTCTGTAACAATCAATACACATCTAATCAAAATCAAGACTTCATTTTTATCTTTGTCAAGTAAAAAGTTCCAAAGGATTTCTATGTTGAAAGAAAATCAGCCTAGTTTTTATATTTAATCAAAGCAGTCGCTTTTGCCATCTCAGCCAGTTCATGTTGTTGGGCTTTTTTTCAAAATAAACTTCAAAAGATATAAAAGCACCAATAACGGCGTCTGAACTTTGGCATTGATTTCTGAAGTATGAGGTAGTAATTACAGCTGTCATACTGAGATGAGCAAGCTGCAGTTAATGCTTTGTATTTTTCTTGCTCTTTTTCAGGATAATAGTTCTACCAGTTTTGAATTGATAAATATCTCTCAGTTTGTAGATGTCATTCCTTCCCGCCTTCAGTTTCTATCAAAGGAGATAGAGAGGATTACATCAGAAGAAGAGCATGTTGATTTTAAGAACTGCACCATTATTCAGAGCCAAATAGGTAACATTTTTGAGTGATGGGGAAAGGGGTGAGGAAACAAAGGTATGGCCATGTTCCCATCTGTGCCTAATCATGCTTCATTGAACAATGTTATCTGTTGTGTCCAATGTCCCATCCCCAGACCATAAATGAGATAGACTTAAGTGTTAAAATAATGTTTTCCCTCTTATCCTTCCATCATCCAAGAACAGGCTAATGGTGTGTCATATCTGTAAAGCTTTGTCCCTAATTAGCCTTGAAGGGACACGGGGTAAATGATAGTGAGAGGAAACAGAAATAGCACCACTGAAGGCAGGATAGAGATCTGCACCGTTTTCCACATAGGATTGTTTTTCCCCATTTCAATAAGGGCATAGTGGGGTTGCAGGGGAGAGCACTGTGTGACATGCTGGTGGGGAAAGGCCCTTGGTACATATTAAGCTGACTTTCAGAAGATAATGTTCCCACAGTGGAATATGGCAAAGTTCCCCAATGTTTCTGGCTTTGGGGACTGCCGGAGGATGGGGGGAGGGAGAGGATGGTTCTGTGTGAGCGGCTGGCGAGCATGTGCATGTGCATGCAGCTACATTTGCACGAGCGGTGAGCATGTGCACCTTCCACTCACTTAAATCGAGCGCATGCACACACTAGCCATTTCCACAGCCCGGCTGCAATTCCCTCACGGTCCACTAGTGGCCTGTGGCCCACAGGTTGGGGTCCCCTGGAATATAGTCTACCATGTCAGACTGCCTCAACCTGGTGCCCTCTGGACTTCAAATCCAACATTGATTGGGGCCAGATGATGTACAATGTCTCCAGATGTCATCTCAACGTCTCAGTACAGATAGTCCTTGACTTACTATCACAATTGAGCCCACAATTGTTGCTAAGTGAAACATTTGTTAAGTGAGTTTTGCCTCATTTTACGACCTGTCTTGCCACAGTTGTTAAGTGAATCATTACAATTGTTAAGTTAGTAACGTTGTTAAGTGAATCAGGCGTCCCCATTGACTTCGCTTGTCACAAAGCTGATCACATGACCCCATGACACTGCAGCTGTCATAAATATGAACCAGTTGCTGTGGATCTGAATTTTGATCACATGACCAAGGGGATGCTGCAATGGTTGTAGGTGTGAAAAACGATCATAAGTCATGTTTTCAATGCTATTATAACTTTGAATGGTTGCTAAATGAACTGTTGTAAGTCGAGAACTACCTGTAGCCTGTTCCTGAGTGGCTACAGCCACAACATCCCTGCAGATGACACTCACAAAGTACCATTTTGGGGTACTGTGGAAATCCTCAGCTCCTATCCTGAAGATAGCTGTGGATTCTCCTAGCATGAGTCAGGCCCAAATACAACAAAGACACATGGTGGCTCCTTCAAGCCATATTCTATATTTTTTAATACCTTAGACCAGTGATGGCTAACCTTTTTGTCATCACGTACCAGGAGCAGGGGGGCGTGTCATGCATGTGCGTGCCCACACCCATAATTCTATGTGCCCTGCTCCCGCGTGTGACCCCCCCACACTCTCTATGCTCCTGGCACGCAATGGCACGCACACCGGAAGTTGGCAAACGGGCCGTTTCTGGCCTCCGGAGAGCCTCCGTGAGGGGGGGAGGCCATTTTCGCCCTCCCCAGACTCCTAGAAAGGCTCTGGAGGCTGGGGACAGCAAAAAACAGGCCTTCCCCACCCCCCCCAAGGTCCTCTGGAGGCAAGATACAGCCTGTTTCCCTACTTCTGGTGGGCCCAGAAGGCCTGAAAATCAGATGGCTGAGCTTGTGTGCCCACCGTTATGGTTACGCGTGTCACCTGTGGCACACGTGCCATAGGTTTGCCATCACGGCCTTAGACAAAACCTTGCCAGATTGAGGATTCTACTATCTGCATTTACAATATACTCTGTGAACTATTAAGAATGGGCTGTCTTCACCCTCTTTCTCTCACACACGATATCTGGGCTAAGCTACCTCTTACTCTTCTGGAATGCAGCCCCTCCCTTGGGGAGGATCCACCCACCTCCTCACTACATTACATCACATATGATTTTGCAATATTTGAAATAGCAGCTGACAGATGCTACCAGAATTGCCAGAGAGAAGACTGATACCAAACTGGATGGAAGACCTTTCCAATTTGGAGCAGGCCCTGATTACAGTAATATGACTGACCTGGAATATTGTACCTCTGATTTAGTCGCTGTGAACTTCACTGGCCATATTTAGTTCCAGTTGTTTTTCTGGGACATGCTTTAATCTTCCTTTCTATCCCACCCTCTTAAGGCACACCTGGTTTTTTTTAACTAGTCCTGATTTCTATAGGAAGTAGAGGCTCTAATAATTCTCAGCACCTATACTAAAAGTCTTTTTTTTTTTGTAAGTGATTTAATTGTTTGTTAATCTTAACAAGGAATGTCACCACCACAATTACATGGCTGGCAAGGAAAAAGGAGCAACAACTAGTAACCAAGGTTTAAAATCAGAAGAGCAAAGTTAAACCTTCAAAATCTGTTCACAGCTGGATACCCTGGAGAAAGAATGCCTAAACCCCATCCAAGATGAAGTCCTTTGAAAAAGAAATCCATAATTTATCTTATGTTCCCACCATCCAAACTCTTTTAGTAATTGAACATAGAAGAGGGATTTTTCCTGTGATAATTTACGAATCTAGAAACAGTAAACACTTATCATTAGATATGCTACCTTATTTCTCTATCCCTTTTCACAAGGTAGACTGCAATGTCACATATCTTCAGGCAGGTCAACCAATAGAACTTGGGGTACAAAATATTATACTAAAATGTGACTGATTGGGTGATTTATATAATGTATAAGGTTACGTTAAAATAAATGGGCAGTTTGTGTGTCAGCACATCGAGAAAACCCAGTCTTAGCACCGTGTTTCTCAACCTTGGTGACTTTCAGAGGTATGGACATTAACCCAGAATTCCCTTGCTGGCTGGGGAATATTGGGAGCTGAAATTCACACCTCTGAAAATTGCCAAGGTCGAGAAACATTGCCTTATAGTATGTTATGGGAGAAGTATCATCATTTTTAAAGCCGTAATATGATTGATTCTGGCCTGGCAACATAACCAATGAGTGTTATGAACAGGTTGAAAATTTAGCATGTGTTATGTATCCCGCCATTGTGTCTTTCCTCTGAATATCATTTACTTTCTGCTCCATCCTCCCCACCCCTTTGTTACCAGCTGGCATTAGATCTGCCCCTATAGGTCAGTCTCTCTCTGTACTACAGAATCTTCTGTTACCCATCAACACTTCTGACCGGAAGCTAGAGAAGAAACAGTCATCTCAGCCAATCTCCCACAAAAGAACTTACTGGTGGTTACTTCTTTCAGCTATCTTGGTCTGTCTTCTCATCTGTTTATGGAAAAAATGCAAGGTAAAATCTTAATAAGAAACAGCTTCAGGTAAAAATGCATAACACAATAGTAGCATGTGAAACAACCTTGGACTCTACCTTAGTTACAGAACTGATATTTACAGGCAGAAAGTCTTCTGTTCTTTAATATTGTCATTGAAAGATCTGGATGAAGAGATAGAGAAAACCAATTCTGTAGATGACATTTAATTGGATGGGTTCCTAATTCCCCAGAAGACAGAAATAAAATTCACAAATGCTCTTTGAGAGAGTGGAGATATGGACTGCAAGTAACAGAATGAACTTTACTACAGATACATACAAAGTTCCTCACTCAAGAAACACAATTCACATATAGCGGATTAAAAATACCTAGCTTGATAATCGTATTTGTGAAAAAGATCTTGGAATAATAGCTTATTGCAAAGTGAACATGGACCCATACTGTCATAGAGCAACCAAGAAGGCAGATTAAGTTTTAGACTGTATCAAGGCTTGAGTTGACTCAGCCTTCCATCCTTCCGAGGTGGGTAAAATGAAGACCCAGATTGTTGGGGGCAATATACTGACTCTGTAAACCGCTTAGAGAGGTCTGTAAAGCACTGTGAACTGGTATATAAGTGTAAGTGTTATTGCTATCAACACAAGTACCATTTCCAAATCATACACAGTATTGTTTCCTTATGACCACATACAGTACTATCTTTCTTGATATTTGCCTATTTTCCCATCCTCTACAAACAGACATACATTTATCATATTTGCTTATTCACTATGTATGCATAATACATAAATATAAAGGATAATTGTAATTTGAGAAGTCTTCCCCTTTCAAGCATTTTCATAACAACACAGTTCAACTATGCTTTAATTAGGATTGGTTTCTCCTGTTCATGTGGAGGAATTCTATTAATTGCACATACAGTATTCTTTTGTTTTTATTCTGCATTTTTACTCTATTGAGTGTAACCCTTAGCTTGCCAGTTGGGGCAGGTTATGAAAACTGTGAACTGAACTGGATTGCAGAAGAATATAACTAGAAACCATCATAATCCTCATTTTTGCTCAATTTCCCCTGCCAAATGTAAAACAATGAAGATAAATGATGTATTCTAATTTATCTGCTTCCTTCTTAGGTGTTCAATTGGATATTTTAAATGGTACATAAACAAGTCTTATCTCTATGACTAATATGGTTGACTGGCAAGCTTCCAGGACATCCCTTCCATTTTTAAAAGATATCCTCTCCAACAGGCAGATAAGCAGCAGTAGATAAACAATTAGAGAGGAAATAATATTCTAATTAAAGAGCTTTAAAGGAAGAAGCCACACCCCACCAACATTGATAGGGCAAGCTACTACAAATAGTCCTTGACTTACAACAGTTCATTCAGTGACCATTCAAAGTTACAACGCCACTTTAAAAAGTGAGTTATGACCATTTATCATCTTATGACCATTGCAACATCCCACTAGTCACATGATTTACACTCAGCTTGGCAACTGATTCATATTTATGATAGTTGCAACATCCTGGGGTCGTGTGATCATATTTTACGACCTTCTGGCAAGCAAAGTCAATGGGGGAGCCAGATTCACTTAACTATGTTACTAATTTAACAACTGGAGTGATTCACTTAGCAAATATGGCAAAAGAAAAGTCGTAAATGGGGCAAAACTCACTTAACAAATCTTTCACATAGCAACATTGTGGTTGTAAATCAAGGACTACCTTGTCCATAAATGAACATTATCCCATAGACTAGTAAAAGTAGTCCTCCATTTATGACCACAATTGGGGCCAAACTTTCCGTTGCTAAGCAAAGTGGTTCTTAAGTGAGTCCTGCCCACTTAACAACCTTTTTTGTCACAGTTATAAAGTGAAATGCAGTTGTTAAGTGAATCCCTGATTGACTTTGCTTGTCGGAAGCCAACTGGGAAGATTGCAAAAGGCGGATCAGACCCCAATTGCCAAATGCCTGCATTTTGTGACCATGGAGATGCTGCAGCAGTCCTGAGGACCTGTCATAAGTCATTTTTTTTCTGTGCTGTTGTAACTTCAGTGCTAAACAAATGATTGTAAGACAAGGACTGCCCAGTGGTGGGTTTCACTTACCTTTGCTACCGGTTCGCTCACGTTCGCATGCGCAGAGCATATTTCAATACGTCCGGGCAGGTGGGCGGAGGCTCCCGCCACTGCTGCTACCAGTTTGCCTGAACTGGGGCGAACCAGTAGCAACCCATCACTGGGACTACCTGTATATTTATGATGCTCTATATCAGTGATGGCGAGCCTATGGCATGCGGGCTGGAAGTAGCATGCAAAGCCATCTCTCCAAGCATGCTTGAGGTTTGTGTGGGGTTTGTTCTCACTCTGCTTTAGGATTTACCAGTAACGTGGGAGAGTTTGGGGAGATTTGGAGCAATAAAGAAGCTGTTTGAACAGCCAGCTGTTTGTGTTATTTCTGTGCCATGCCCTGGTCATCACACACACACATGCATGTGGGGAACTGCTCTTCTGGTTTCCTGTGCTCCCGCGAATGCGTGCCGGGGAGCTGCTGTTCCGGTTTCAAGCACTCACCCCTCAACGCACATGCTCCCCTTTCGACACTTGGTGCCGAAAATGTTTGCCAACATTGCTCTATACCTTCATATAAACAGATCTGACTAAGCAATCTCATGAGCGAATACCCCTCCATAGGACACTAAATTACGATGCTCATCAAAATTTAGCACATTAGGAAAAATGCTAGATTAGATAGGTTACGTGCTTTTTCTCTAAGCAAAAAGTGTTACTTTATTTAGAAAATGGGAACAAACTGTGCCTAAAAGTCATAGAATGAAGTCAGCTAGAATTCTGCTTGATGACGTTTTCTCTGGGCGCAGAGAATGTGAGACCTTTTGTACCTCTTATTGGTGCAGTAGATCAATGTTTCACACCTTGGCAACCAAGATATGTGGACTTCAACTCCCAGAATAGCTGGGAGGAATTCTGAGAGTTGAAGTCCACACATCTTAAAGTTGCTGACAAGCACTGCTGTAGATTGTTCGACAGAATGTATCTGCCCCACGTTTTCTTTTCCTCTCTATATATTTTCCCTTTCTTGTCTTTTTATCTTTTTCAGTGGTCCTCTTCGAGAGCAATTTAAAACTACCACATCCCCGTGGTATGGGATCTACATCACTCAGCATCTTAGAGCGGTGCTCTATCCCACTCCTAGCCTTTCTCTCGAAGGACTAACCTGGATCTATCTGTCCGAGGGGCTGCTGTCAAAAAAGATCTGCTAATGAGCCATAAGCCTCAGTTGTGGCTCCCATCCCTCGGTAGATGCTGCATCTTTCTTTTTGTAGTGTATAGATAGTCCTCAACTTATGACTGCTATTGGAACCAGAATTTGTGATGCTAAGAAAGGTGGAAAGGTTAAATCAATTGTGTCTGATTTTACATTCTTTTTTTGCCACAGTTTTTAAGCAAATTATTGCAGTTCTTAAGTGAGTTGTGCAGTTGTGAAGTAAATCCAGCTTCCCCCATTAACTTGCATGTTAAAAGCCAGCTGGGAAGGCTACCGATGGTGACCACATGTTGCAACCGTCATAAATACAAGCTTGTTACCTAAATTTACCTAAATTTTGATCACGTGGCCATGGGGATGCTGCGACGGCCATAAGTGCAAGAATTGGTTGTAAGCCACTTCTTTCTGTGCCATTGTAACTTCGAACGGTTGTTAAACGAATGGTTGTAACTCGGGGCTTATGTGCAGGGGTGGTATTCAGAGCGCAGAGCATCAAAAACAGGATGTGATGACGTCCAGGCGGGTGGGCGGAGCCTCCTGCAGTCACCCGAACCAGGTAGAATCGGCTGAATATACTTACACTGCTTATATGGTATGTACTGTGTGTTATGTATATGAAAAGGGAGAGAGAGAGAGAGATTGTTAATATATGTTTTTTTTATTTTGTATAAATAAAAGCAAATGTTTAGTAACCACATGAATGTTCCACGAAGAGGAATTTTCCAGTGCATTTTTATTTAATGTGACCAGCTAACCTGTATTGGTCTCTTATCGGAATCAAGCAATAGACAGCCTGTCCTAAAATCATCTGTAGAGAGCAAAGTCTGAGACAGTGTTTCTCACCTTCATCAACTTTAACAGGTGTGGACTTCATCTCCCAGAATTCCTCAGCTAGCATGGAATTCTGGGAGTCGAAGGCCATACATCTTAAATGTTGCTGAGGTTCTGACATGACATCTTTATGCAGCTCTGCATTCCCTGAATCTGTTGTGGCCTGTCGGCCGCCAGCCCCTCCAACACCCAAATCAGAGGAAAAGCAGGCGTGGGAGTCAAGGTCAGCATCAAGGCAACTTGAGAGCTCCGAGAGGGAAGAGGGAATGGAGCTGGCAGAGAGAGAGAGAGAGACAGAGGCGGAGCCTGGCCCATCCATCAGCCCTCAGATGGAGAATCAACAGCCCCTGGGTCTGGAGGTGGCTGATGAGGAAGAGGAGGAACAGCTGGGTCCAGTGTCTGACGTGTGTATGCGCAGAAGGCAGAGGAGAAGAGAGTAGTGGAAATCCATGGGCTGATCCATGGGACAGAAGAGCCACTGCTGCTAGAGAAGCCCCACCCTAGCTCTGCGGATAAAAGGCAGGGGTCAGAGATGAATAGATGTGGCAGATAACTATTCATCTCCCTGCTGGACAGACTTGTTAGCCTGTGATGAGAGAGAAACTTTTTGCCGGGGCTGTTGGTGCTCCTAATAAAGGAATCATTGAGTTAAGGGAGTGTTTAGGGAGTTGAGTCAGAACACAATCATGCTAAAATAAACATCTTGAAACGCAACTAGAGCAATTCGTTTTGGATGGACAATTCAGACCAGATAGGAGAAAAGTCAGAATTTGTGTATCATTTTACTGTCTCCTTGTGATCACTCAGAATGCGCAGCCCAGATCTGGTAGCCCTGTCTCACTGCTGACAACTTTTTACAAAGGAGGCAAAAAGATGCTGAAGGATAACAAAACAATAATAAATAAACACAATGGCAAATCATGGTCACCGCAAATCACCATAAATATGGGTTGGTTGCCAAGCACCCAAAAGGAGATCACTTGACCAGGGACAGCTTTCAGAATTTTGAATCTGATTTTTTTTTTTTTTTGGATCCATTGTAACTGATCGCTAAGTTGCCAGTCATAAGTGGAGGACTTCCTGTAGTTACAAAATACCTTTTAAATGCAGTTCCTAGTTAAGGAAGAAGCATCCACCATAAATGCACTCCTGCAAGGTGACTAATGCAGGTAGTTCTTGACTTATGACCACAAAATTTCTGTTGTTAAGGGAGACATTTGTTAAATGAATTTTGCTCCATTTTACGACTTTTGTTGCCGTAATTGCTAAGTGAATCATTGCAGTTGATAAATTAGTAACATGGTTGTTAACTGGCTTCCCCATTGGTTTTGCTTGTCAGAAGGTCACAAAAGGGGATCCCATGACCTTGGGACACAGCAATGGTCATAAGTATGAACCAGATGCCAAGCATCTGAATTTTGATCACATAATCATGAGGATGATACAAAGGTCATAAGTGTGAAAAATGATCATGGCACTTTTTTCAGGGCTGTTATAACTTTGAACAATCACTAAATGAACTGTTGTAAGTTAAGGATTACCTATAGGTGGCATAATATTGATGTCAATTCTTAGCAACCACATAGATAGACTTTCTTCATGATGATGTCCTAATTTGGTCCATTAGACTTTCCCATAGTTCTCCCATCACCACTGTAATCAAGTCCAAACCTTGCTCTTCTTCTCTTTCTTTGCATCCTAAAAATTATCCATATTGATATTCATTATAATTTCTAAGGAAATTTTTCATTCCAGCCATTCCTCATAATTTAAAGAGTCTTTTCCTTTGGGAGACCAAATCCAATTTCTAACTGAAATTCCCTTTAGTGAAAAACTGTCCAATTTTCCATGGCAGAAAAAACACAGATTAAACCCAAGACCTATCTTTCTTCACTTTAAGACATATTGCTGGAAAAGGTTTTCCTGTTTATTCCTGACGATTTTATATAATAATTTATTCATTTTCTGTCCCAAGTCTTTTATCCGCATAATTAGCATTTGATAACAATCAAAATTTGGATTTCATCATCCACAATTGATTTGGCTGTGGTTGAAAGTCGTTCCGAATAAATTTTAGGAATGTTTAGAACGGGGGTCTCCAATCTTGGCAATTTTAAGCCTGGCAGACTTCAACTCCCAGAATTACTTGGCCAGCTTTGCGGCTGGGTAATTCTGGGAGTTGAAGTCCGCCAGTCTTAAAATTGCCAAGATTGGAGACCCCTGGTTTAGGAAATTGAGTGATGGAGTATCTAATGAGTCCTTTGATAGGAAATCATCTTTCTCTGCTGGTTTCCCACTCTACCTCTGTAATGATATGTATGAATGACCTTGGGAGTCACAGCCTACACAATGGTCTGATAGACAAATCTGAATCTGAAGGAGGGATTGGGTTGGGAAAGCATCACAGATTGGTGATCCTCCCTAGTTTTGGTGAAAATAAAAGTAAAGGTGGGAAGAGGTCCCACCTCAGACTTGCAAGATTCTGTTAGTTTCCTCTTATAATAAAAGTAGTGTTACGAATCACAGTTAGTGCTTCTTGTGAAGATTTGCTGAGCAAATAACTGGTTAGCCTGCTTATAAATTTGCATGATGAATAAATCCTAATATCTTGCATGAGTTAGAACTCAGGGAAATGTACGATGGAGATGTTTCATAAATAGCCATTTATGAAATGGAAAACATCTCTTTTTAGCAGGAGAATAAAAGTAAGGCAGTGGAATTCTTTCCAAATAGCCATTAATATAGGCAATAAATTTGGGAGTCACTTTTGCATACATTATCTGGGGATTATTCTTTTTCATTCATATTAAGGCAATACACATTAGAATGACTGAAAAGGAGAACATTCACGCCCCCCCCTACTTAACCAGCAAGCATAATTTTCCTTGTCCATTACTCAGCCATCTCCTGCATACTGCATTTTAACAAAACTAACTCTTTTTATAAATGTAGTCATGTATCCATCAGATTTCCTTTCACTGATTTCTCCATCCAGCTATTGCTTTAACTTCAGAAACAGTGTTTATGACATTCTGCCATGACATTAGGATTGGCTCTGTGTTTCTCTTCCTCCAGGATGAATCAATTCTGCCATGACCCACCCCTGTCCCATAAGAGATGTACAAATGTAAGAGAATTATCTGATATATCTCTAGCCAATGGTTTCTTCACATCTTCCAGAGAAAAACATCTTTCTCAGGACAACATCTGAATTTCCTGAGAAGTTTCATCTTTTGATAAGTTCAAGAGTTTAATAAGCTAAATTTGCTGCCTTTCGAAAACGCCAGACATTTGACTGACAATCTTTAGAATAGAACAGAACAGAACAGAACAGAACAGAACAGAACAGAACAGAACAGAATAACAGAGTTGGAAGGGACCTTGGAGGTCTTCTAGTCCAACCCCCTGCCCAGGTAGAAACCTACACCACTTCAGACAAATGGTTATCCAACAGCTTCTTAAAAACTTCCAGTGTTGGAGCATTCACAACTTCTGCAGGCAAGTTGTTCCACTAATTAATTGTTCTAACTGTCAGGAAATTTCTCCTTAGTTAGTTCTAAGTTGCTTCTCTCCTTGATTAGTTTCTACCCATTGCTTCTTGTCCTACCCTCAGGTGCTTTGGAGAATAGCTTGATTTCCTCTTCTTTGTGGCAGCCCCCGAGATATTGGAACACTGCTATCATGTCTCCCCTAGTCCTTCTCTTCATTAAACTAGACATACCCAGTTCCTGCAACCGTTCTTCATATGTTTTAGCCTCCAGTCCCCTAATCATCTTTGTTGCTCTTCTCTGCACTCTTTCTAGAGTCTCAACATCTTTTTTACATTGTGCCGACCAAAACTGAATGTAATCTTCCAAGTGTGGCCTTCCAAGGCATTATAAAGTGGTCTTAACACTTCACGTGATCTTGATTCTATCCCTCTGTTTATGCAGCCCAGAACTGTGTTGGCTTTTTTGGCAGCTGCTACACACTGCTGGCTCATATCTAAATGGTTGTCCACTATGACTCCAAGATCCCTCTCACAGTTACTACTATTGAGCAAGGTATCACATATACAGTACCTGTGCATTTTGTTTTTCTTCCCTAAATGTAAAACCTTGCTTTTTTCACTGTTGAATTTTATTTTGTTAGATAGCACCTTTTCTTAGGCAGCTAATTGGGGTGAGCTTAAATCATCTGGTCAGTTTGTAGGCTTAACTCAGGGATTCTTAAAATTGTTGCCATCACAACTTTAATCTTAATGAATACACTTGCACTAAACATCCAAGCACCAAAATGAACACAAATGAACAATGGAAACAGTACCACAAAACTTTGGAAAAAGTATATTTATTTGTAACAATATAACTGACAGTATCTCCACACCACTCCTTCACTCTGTTTGCATTAAAGGAGGTACACCTTAACTCTATAATACGACAAGCAACTCTTCCAAAGCTTTAGGTGTGAGTTTTTCAGTAATTAGGCTGCAGTAAAAGTAATCCATTAATTTGCAGAAGGGATGAGTTACACTTAGTTTGTGCTTTGGTTTAAATTTAGCCCATGGGATAGTATTTTTAATTAAGCTGTTATAAACAAGTTCAGAACTTAAGCAAAGGAAGAAACTGGCATTTTCCTCAATGGAAAGATCTCCCCCATCATCAGTTTTCCCAAGCTGATGTCTTCAGATATATGAGAGAACAAAGTCCACATTCAACACCATCAAGTCTTTGGGGACATTCTCTTTAGGGAAGGCTGCCTTGCATAGAGATGCCATCTCAGTGTCTAGGCTTTGCTCTTCACATGTTTGAAATAACTGCCTTCATGATAGATTATGTGCTGTGATAGATTTTGTCCAGGGTAAATCTGTCTCCAACCTGGTCAATCAGGTCTTATTGCTTATTGCCAAAATAATCAAATCTGTACACCATATTATCCTCCTCTTCTCATTCCTTCCACCTTTCCCAGCATTAGAGCCTCCTCCAGAGAACTAGATCTTCACATGATGTGACTGAAGTAGGACAATTTTGACCCTGGTCATTTGTGCCTCCAGTGAGAATTCTGAGTTGAACTGCTTTAAGGATTACACATTGGCTACTGCCCCCTATAATCATCTTTGGAATGTCATGTTTGAGGATAAGAACAAGCACAGATAAAGACTGAACTCCCACACGTTGCAAGTTGGGCTTGTACATATCCTTCTACATCTTCAGTAAGAAGTCATCTGAAGTACCAATTTTCTGGTTCCTATCTCTACAACTTTTTTTTCTTAATATAGGTTCATAGGGACTAGTCAAACGTGACCCTTCCTTCCTTCTTTCCTCCTTCCTTCCTTCCTTCCTTCCTTCCTTCCTTCTTTCCTCCCTCCCTCCCTCTCTTTTTTCTTTCCTTCCATCCTTCCTTCCTTCCTTCCTTCCTTCCTTCCTTCCTTCCTTCCTTCCTTCCTTCCTTCCCCAGCTGAAATTGACAAGAGTTCCCTCAGTTTTCCCTTCTAGGTTAAGTGAAAGAAAGAATGGTTAAACTGAGATATTTTTGTTCCCACCATTCCAAGAGTAGACATGCCAAATGGGACAGTGTCAAGTACAAATGGGGCTCAAAGAAAAGGTCAGTCAATGGAAACCATATGTTCCCTTAAAAAGCAAAATAATTGGCATGTGTTTTCCCAGAAGGGATGGGAGTGAAGAAGCAATTGGATCTATTCAGTCAGACATTGTTATGATCACTATCCAGACAGCACACTTGTTGCCAAAGCTGAAGAACAGATTGAAATCCAGAGAGTAAATTCTTAAACTGGTTTCATTTTCAAAGGGTTTCATCAAGGGAGACCAGGCGTTTAAGGCTTTCATGCAGGGGTGGGTTCTAATTTTTTTTACTACCGGTTCTGTGGGCGTGGCTTATTTTGTGGGTGTGGTTTGGAGGTCATGTGACTAGGTGGGCGTGGCTAGCTGGTCAGTCATTTCTGGAAAGTCCTCACACTTACGACCAGTCCTCGCACTTACGACCTGACTCATTTGTTTGCTTTTAACACTGATCAGCTGTAGGACGGCCCTTTGAAGCCCCGCCGCAAGAGTTTAAACAGTTTTTTTCCCTCTAGTCATCAGCTGGGACTCAGGAGGCAGCAATAGATTGGGGGTGGGACCAAATAAAAGGTAAGAATAACGTGGGGGGGGGAGGGCTGGTTCGATGATGTCATATCATCACCGCTACCGGCTCGGCCGAATCGGACCGAACCGGGAGGAACCCACCACTGCTTTCATGTGACAGAACCCTATGAAGAAGAATAGTCGGCGATATTGCCAGTTGTAAAATAGCAGGATAGGTGATACTGCAAATGCCCTTTTGGGTTGGGATCTGTATCTGATACAGCAGTTGTTTTTGTGCACAGGAAGAGAGTTTGGTCTAAGACCATGATGGCGAACCTATGGCACGCGTGCTACAGGTGGCACACGGAGCCATATCGGTGGGCACGCAAGCTCAGCTCCATTCGGGCCTTCTGGGCCCACCGGAAGTAGGGAAACAGACTGGTTCCTGTCTCCAGAGGGCCTGGGCGGGGAGGAACACCATTTTTTGCTCTCCCCAGGCTCCAGAGCTTTTCTAGGAGCTTGGGGAGGGTGAAAACGGCCTTCCCCACCCACTGGAGGCTGGAAACGGCCTGTTTTCCAACTTCTGGTGGGACTGGAAAGCTCATTTTTTGCTCTCCCCAGGCTCCAGAGCCTTTCTAGGAGCCTGAGGAGAGCGAAAACAGCCTTCTCCACCCCCTGAGGCCATTTCTGTCCTCCAGAGGGCTTCCGGGGGGGGGGAACAATGTTTTTGCCCTCCTCAGGCTCCTAGAAAGGCTCTGAAGCCTGGGGAGAGTAAAAAGCGAGCCTACCAGGCCCACTGTGCCATTGCATGCTAAAAGCGGGGTGAGTGCAGGGGAAGTGCACGCATGCATGGGGGTGGGGCACATAAAATTATGGGTGTGGGCACATGCGCACACGACCCCCTCATGCTCATCCCGCTTTTGGCACTGATGGCAAAAAGATTAGCCATTACTGGTCTAAGGTTTGTCTATCTGTTGGGAGCTTAGCAATGGAATTGATCAGACAATGGCCAGGAACACCTCCAACATGTTGCTTCCAGTACAATGCCAAAGTGGGTTACATCCATCTAGATTCTAGAACACGGGTGTCAAACTCAAGACCTGGGGGCCAGATCCGGCCCATGGGGTGCTTAGATCTGGCCTGTGGGGCCCCCTGGAAACAGCAAAGGACCGGTCCACAGTGCCTCTGCCAGTGAAAACGGAGCTTGGGAGGGCCACATGCGGCCCTCCTGAGCTCCATTTTTGCTGGCAGAGGGTTGCAGGAAGCCATCACAGCCGAAAATGGAGCTCAGGAGCCCGTTTTTGCTGGCAGAGTGCTCAGACCACCACAGCCCCCCCTCCCGACATGAGTGACGTCAAGCTGGCCACACCCACCCTGGCCACAGACCCCGCCCCCTGAAGGTCAAACACAACCCTGATGCGGCCCTCAATGAAATTGAGCTTGACACCCCTGTTCTAGAGGGAGGAGGAGGGGGGAGGTGGAGGTGGAAGATTGACAGGAAATAGGGGAGGGGAAATGATACAGATACTCCTTGAGTTAACAGCCATTCATTCAGCGACTTCAAAGTTTGAAGTTATCCCAGCACTTAAAAGGGTGACTTACCACCAGTCCTCACACTCATGGCAATTGCAGCATCCCCACAGTCGCCTGGTCGAAATTCAGATGCTTTCAATCGTCATGTATTTATGATGATTGCATCATCTTGGCGTGATGTGATCACCTTTGGTGACCTTCCCAGCTAGCTTCCAACAAGCAAAGTCAATGGGGGAGGCTGTATTCATTTAACAACCGAATGATTCACTTAAGAACTGCACTGATTCAATTAACAACCATGGCAAAAAAGATTGTAAAATCCAACGTGACTCACTTAACAACTGCCTTGATCAGCAATGGAAATCCTGGTCCCAGTTGTGTTTGTAAGTCAAGGACTACCTGTATACAAGTAAGATATATAACTACACATATATTCTAATAGCCTAATTTAGGAAAGTGGATTGTTTTTGATCACTGTTGGGAACCCAGCCCTTCAGGGATCTGCAAATTCATCATACTTCCTTCAAACCACACTTAGCCAGATTTTTCCAGATTGAATAAAATAAGGGAAGGAGTTGTACTGGAGGAAAGGGGAGCTGCTAGAGAGAAGCTGGATCTCAGATAAGATTTCCAAGGTTGACTGGAGACAGGCACTCCAGTTTCACAGGGCTTCGTGGCACCTCCTTGGTGTCTGGTCCTGTCTCAAGTTTAGCAGGTTTCTCTGGTGATGTTTCAAGCCCAGGAGAGGGTTGTTTGAGATCTGGGACTGAGAGGACCTGCATTGGTTTAAGTTGGATTTGTGTTGGGATTGGGTAGACATAACCATCTGTTTCATTGAAGAACCAGTCGTAATGCTGGGGCCTGTCTAGGGAGAGAGCTGAAAAGAAAAGAAGAGAGACGGAAGTTAAAGAAATATGTGTAGTCTATCAGTTTAGCATTCCAGGTCTGGAATGGGTTGGGGCATTTGAAAACTTTAGTACCTGATATGGATTCTCTCCCAAAATGACTGTTGGGTGGGCTTTCCCATTCATAAAACAGTTGCCATGGAAGGCATAATTATATGACAATGCTACTTGAGACCCTTCCTGGATCTTCCTCCATCCCACTTATTTACACATTGTGACGATTGTTGTCGAATGATCTATCTAGGTACTCCTACCATCTCAAATGAATAAGGCATTGCCCAGTAAAATGCCTCTGTTATGGAATGGGACAACTCATTGTAGCCATCTTGCCATGGCCAACTTGCCACAAGACAACTCACTAGGACCAACTTGCTGTGGGACAACTTGCTGCAGGACAATCCACGCAAGATAATTCAGTGCAATAAATGCTATCCACCATTATTTCTTCTACGCTATTTCCAGTGACAAAAATAATGTAGAAGAAATACTGGCGGATAACATTTATTGCATTGAGTTATCCTACGTGAAATTGTCCACTGCGAATTGTCCCATGGCAAGTTGGCTGCACAGAGTTGTCCCGTGGTGAGTTTGCCATGGTAACTTCACTGTTATGATATCCCAGTGCTTATAATGCTTGTTTGGCACATCAATGTCTTTTTGGTACCTGACAAAGACCTTTTTCTATTTATAAGATTTGGTACAGAAAGATTTTTATGTCCTTAGTTTCATTCCTGTATCTATAACTGGATGTTTTAATTGTATAGTATATCATTTCTTAATAACAGTAATCATGACCAGAATTTCCACCAATAAGTGATGCAATCATAAGCAGGATGTCATGTGAATGCATTGCTTAATGGCAGCAATCCCAGCATTCCCCGTTGCAATCGTTAAGCTAGGATCATTAGCTACGGTGGCGCAGTGGTTAGAGTGCAGTACTGCATGCTACTTCTGCTGCCTGCTGGCTGCCTGCAATTTGGTAGTTCAAATCTCACCAGGCTCAAGGTTGATTTATCCTTCCATCCTTCCTAGCTGGGTAAAATGAGGAGCCAGATTGTTGGGGGCAATATGCCGACTCTGTAAACCGCTTAGAGAGGGCTATAAAGCACTGTGAAGCGGTATATAAGTCTAAATGCTATTGCTATTGCTATCATGTTAAACAAGTCTCAGTCAACTTGCAAGCAGGCAAGTAGCTGCTGTTGGGCAGAAGAGGGTGTGCAGGTGTCTGGCAAGCCATGGCATGAGCATGGCAGAATCAGGGATGGTTCCTGGCAGGCAAGGAAAAATGTGAGAGACTTACCAGAGTGACCCATGGCCTTTGTTGCTGACTTTATTTGTGGGAAGTCAACAGGGAAAGTCATAAGTGATAATCACCTGTGTGGGATGCTGCAAGTGTTGTGAAAATCAATTGTCAAGTGCCTAGATCAAGATCACCTGACCAGAGGGGTGGTAGATCTGGCAGTACTTTGAAGACCAATTTAAGTACCACTCATTCAGCATTGTTGTAACTTTGAATGGTTGTTGAACCAGTGATCATCAAAAGTCTATGGAGATTCTCAATCATCCAGGTTATGGTTGTCCCAAAGGTGCTTTTTCCAAAAGGCAATTGGACTTGCTTAGGTTTTTTGTTTGAAAGCATTTTGGTTCTCATCCAAGAAGCTTCTTCAGTTCTGAACTTCTTGGATGAGAAGCAAAACGTTTCTAAACAAAAAACCAAGAACATCCAGTTGCCTTTTGGAGAAAGCACCTTTGGTTATTAAAAGAGGAAGACTTGTGAACCCTTCCTTACCCCCACAACCACCATTTTTTTTTCAACCAAAGGCTATCAACAACATTGATGAACCAGAAGCAAGAAGTTTGTATCTCATAGTGGGAGCAAAATACAGGGGAAGGACATTGACACTCTTAAGGTCACTCTTAAGTGACCCTTCCCATCCCAAAGGACCTGGGGAACAGGTTTACCAGGGTCATCAAATGCATCCTCATTCAAGCGATGGTGTGTGAATGGTTCTTTCTTGGATCCTCGACTGTGGGCACAATAGATTCCCACGAAAACACACAGCAATATACCACACACCCAGAGGAATAGAGCTATGGCGTTCTTGGATATTCCTTGAGTTTCCCCAGCTTGACCTTTACAGGAAAAAAAAATGCCTGAGTTCACATACAATATACCAAACTAGGGAAAAAATGGTATCAGCTTATATACTAATGCTTCAGCAGCCGTTGCTTCCCTATGTTGGCTAAAGCTGCCATGCAATTGCTTTGGGCATGGGGGTCTTCAGAGCAACCCTATTTTATTAACCTGGGTTTATAATCAGAGAGTGTGCTGAGAACTGGCTACCAGTTTTCAATGAATGCAACTGACCCAGTCCAATTGCACTTTTTTCCTTTTTGAATAAAAGCCAAGAAATCAAACACAGCGCTTAGCATACCGAATAGTCTTAAATGTCTCTTAAATGGCTTTCCCTAGGGAGACACACATTTATCTGAGTCTGTGGGGTGCAATTGGTTTTGGAATAATATGGTACAATAATTCAAATGGTGGAGCTGGATGGGGAAATGTTAAATGTGATCTAAGATTTAAATTAATGATTATTTTCCAGCCATGTATTGAATTATCTTGTCTTCTATTGTCCCTAGTTTATTATTTTTGAATATCGATGGGATCTGGCTAAGACTTTTGAGGCCCATAATTAGGCACTTCAAGCCAATTCCAAAGAGCCTTCAATTTACAATTGTATTTCTTCAATCAGGGAGGCTTGTAAGGGATTCCAGCAATTGCAACTCTAATAGGCAAACCTGTCCTGCTTTCCTACTGTTTCCTCCATCTTTTTTCATAATAGAATATTATTTTGAGGAAAGGGGACAAGACTACACAGAATACTAGTCAAATTTAGTAGAAGAATTTCTGTATTGCATTGTTTTTTCAGAATCCAATATGAGAAGGTTTGACTGTCATCCACAGACTTTTTAAGAACTCAGGAATTTATGAATACAGTCACATATGAATACAATGAGGAATCACCACTTCCAGATTTCTGTTACAGAAGATCTAGAAAATCATAAGGACATGGAACCAACCATCACAGCTGCTAGCAACAAATGTTATGATTTAACAAAGCTCTTTGTAAAAAAGGAAAGTAATGGATAACTTCAAGAGACAAATTCTTTGTATATCTAACCACAGTTGACCAAATAAATAAAGTATAAGTTTTAACACTGTACCAATAAAGGAGAATATTTGTACTCCGCGTTGAAAATGAGGGGGTCCTTGCTGTTCTCTGAGCATGGTTGTTTTCTTGCAGATTTTTCATTACCCAAACTAGGGGTAATGGTGATGGTGTTACCTAGTTTAGGTACTGAAATCTTTGCAAGAAAACAACCAAATTCAGGGACACCAAGGACCCCTCATTTAACACTGTGAAAGTAGGAGAAAAACATGAACTAGATCAGTGTTTCTCAACCTGGGCACTTGAGCTTTGCTGACTGGGGAATTCTGGGAGCTGAAGTCCACACATCTTCAAGCTGCTCAAGTTGAAACAAACTGATCTAGATCATTTTTGCTATGCCTGATTTTATGTCTAAGTCATGATTCTCCTTCATTCCTAGCTAGTGTTTTTTCTAAAATCTTGGCTTGGATGTCCAAGAGAAAGGGCAAAGGAGGAAAATTACGTGCATTTATGGTGACTTTGCTCAAATGACGTAACTTCATTTGTACAATGACATTGTGATGCATGTAGCAAATAAAAGCTACTGTGGATTATGAGAAGGAAAAATGATACTGAATTCTTATCTCTCTCACTGTGACACATTAGGTTGGACCATCTTCTAAACCAAAGGTGGAGAACTATGGCCCTTTTATAATTTATGGTCTTCAACTCCCAGAATTACTGAGCCAGCCTGTGTCAGGAATTCTGGGAGTTGAAGTCCACAAAAGTCATAAAAGGGCCATAGTTCTCCACCTCTGTTCTAAACATTCAATTACTCTCTGTATTACAGATAAGTTAAATCTGGACCATTCAAGAATCCCAGATTCAACTCCTTCCCAATTGTCCTTCACCTTTTGGTTTCAGCAGCGCAACTGCCATGCCCCGAGGTGCAAGCTGATTTTTTTCAGGGTCTTCCATGTTTATGCCAGAAAGATTGAAACGAGCCCTCTCCTCTTCTTGAAACATCTCTGTCATGTTCAGCACCATATCTGCACGCCTAGCTGCAGCCTCCCACTCATAATTTCTTATAGGATCATCCACGTTTAGGTCAGAAATCCCAAATGGACTATCTTCTTCCTGGATCAACTCAGTATTCTCAGTCTGGGCGGTGGTGATCGAGGGCTGAGTCTGGTTCTGCTGAGGCAGGGATGAATTGGGTGGAGAGTTGGTAACCGGACTGGGGTGCAGGAGAGATTTGGGATCTTGCGTGGATTCAGAGGACATTGGCGGCGTGGATGACAATGTGGTGGGGAGAGATGAAGAAGAGGAGTAAAGGGATGTGCTTGATGACACGTTAGCCCTTGCATATCTCAGACATATAAGTAACAACAAGCCAAGAGCAACACAAGGTAGATTCATTTTCAGACACCCACTCAAGGGAATTTCTATGGAGAAAAATAAAAATACTTACAAATAGAATCAGCCACACATTGCATCTTCTAAATGTTCTCGGTTGAACAGACAAATCCTTTGTTTACACTTTTTCACACTGTGCAGGAGCTGATGTGGTTTGCCACTCAATGAAAAGCTATAGCCTTTTTCACTCAGCAATAATTAACACTACTTCAGTCATCTGTGTCACTTGAAAGTCATCAGGCAGCAACTTGAGGCACAAGCATATTTCTCTGCAGTATCTCAAAAGAATTATTTTGAATGGCTAGTCTACACATTGAATCTGCAAGTTGTGGTTCCTGAATTTCTGAAGCTCAGTCTGCCAATGTTATCCCTGGACAGGCAAGCAAAGTCCATATATAAATCATTGAGATCAGCAATTGGGCAATATTGAGCTTCAGGGTTTAGTGACCATGGTCTAGGTCCATGATGGCGAACCTATGGCACACGTGCCACAGGTGGCACGCAGCACCCTCTCTGTAGGCACGTGAGCCGTCACCCCAGTTCAGCTCTGCCGCACATGTGCATGCACCTCCCACCAGCCAGCTGGTCGTCAGGTCTCTGCTGCACATGTGTGGGGGGTAGGGCGTGTGCAGGGGGGCCACACGTGCATCTGTGGGGGGTGGAGCATGTACAGGGAGCGCACGTGCATGCATGGGGTGGGGCATGTGGGGGCGCACGCAAGGGGGTCGCTTGCGGGGGGCCATGCATGAATGTGGGGGGGGGGGGATGGGGCACATGTGCAGGCGGCCACGCGGGAATGCACAGGGATGGGGTGCATGCATGGGGGCCACATGCACATTGCAATTTGGGGTTTTCGGCACGCACACACACTTTGAGCACGCGATCCGGAAAAGGTTAGACATCACTGGTCTAGATACCATCCACAATTGCTGAAGTTGCCATCCACAATTGCTAGCAGAACAGCAGGAAATCTGATGTCTAGACAATTGTCAGATCCATTGAAGCTCAACACTGCCCATACTGGCTCTGAAAGCCTACACAATATCAGCAGTCTTGGGAATCTTAAACTTTGTATAAGCAGGGATGGAAAAAAAACTTTGAAGGGAGAACTCCCACAACCTCACAATGACAGCCAAGGGTTGCTGATTGCTGGAGGGGTGCACATGCGGAAAAACAAGAGGGAAATGAAGAAATGGAGAAACTAGAATAGTGAACAGAAAATGTCATTGAACATCAAGTACGAAGAAATGTTTGTTTACCTATTACATTTAGCAGTCTGAATTTAAAAACAACCCATATCCGTGATAGCAACCTATGGCCTGCATGCCACAGGTGGCACACAGCGGCCTCTCTGTGGGCATGCAAGCCATCGCCCCAGTTTAGCTCTGCCACGCATGCATGCATGCCTCCTGCTGGCCAGCTGAGGCATGTGTGGAGGGCGGGGTAGGTGGGGGGTCTGTGCATGCTTGGGGGGTGGAGCAGTGGTGGGATTCAAAAAATTTTACTACCGGTTCTGTGGGTGTATCTTGGTGGGTGTGGCTTGGTGGGCATGGCAGGAGAAGATACTGTAAAATCTCCATTCCCACCACACTCCAGGGGAAGGATACTGCAAAATCCCCATTTCCTCCCGATCAGCTGGGACTTGGGAGGCAGAGAATAGATGGGGGAGGGGCCAGTCAGAGGTGGTATTTACCGGTTCTCCAAACTACTCAAAATTTCTGCTACTGGTTCTCCAGAACTGGTCAGAACCTGCTGACTACCACTCCTGGGATGGGGGCGTATGCTGGGGGTGTATGCACATGCAGGGGGCAGAGCACATGTGGTTGGGCACCTGCGCATTCGTCGGCTGGGCTGGGTGCATGCACGGGAGCCATGCACACATTGCATTTTGGGGTTCAGGCGTGCATGAGAGCATTTGCGCAGCATGCACACACTTTGGGCACTTGATCCGGAAAAGATTAGCCATCACTGACCTACATTATCTTTCTCATCCTCTTGCCTTCTAGTGTTGGATTTTGATTCTCAGACTTCTAGGCCAAGAATACATAACTTTTTAAAAGCAACTATTGGCCTTTGATCCATCTAGGGCAGGGGTTCCCAAACCGGGCAGCTTTAAGACTTGTGGACCTCAACTTCCGGTTGGCTGGAGAATTCTGGGAGTTGAAGTCCGCAAGTCTTAAAGCTGCCAAGTTTGAAAACCTCTGATCTAGGGTATGCCATTCAAGGCCTTCCCTCCCCATTCCATGTTCCATTGATTTTTGTTCAACGTCAAGTGGTATTTTTTGGTCATTGAGCATGTTCAATCTTCACTGCTCTTAAATTATTTTATGTTGCTGTGAAAATAGGTTTTCTCCAACCTTAATGATATTTGTAAGGCTGTATAAGAATCCAGATGTTACTTTTGATTAGAATTTTGCTTGGATGTAGGATTAAGCAGGATGTTCTCTAAGGAGATCGTAATTCTCTTTTTCTGTGATTGTGAGAAGAGATGTACAGATGATTTTTGCATTAGGAATTGAAAGATTCTCCAAGAATCATCAAATTGTCAAGTCGAAATAATTGTACTGAAGATAAGTTTTATATCACTAACAATAGTTGGATGATGCTATATAGATACTATAAATAGCTAAAATGGACTTGACCAACATTTGAATTTATAGATAGCTGTCCTCATCAACGGACAAAAATTACATAAAATCAATAATTCTCCATCACTTCCACTAAACAGATGTGGCAATAAAGATGTAAGTGTAAGAAAAAAAGCACAATATTTTGGGAATTGGATTCAACAAAAAAAGTACAAGGGGGCTCAATTAGGTTTCTAAGAGTGTGAAGTTTTGTGCTACCACCGAAAAAATCTGATATGAGAACTGTGAATATTGGAGTCTTAATCAATCTTCTACCTATATACTTGTACATATATCATTATGAGTTGCCATGTATTTTCAGATTTGAGTAAGTAAGAAAATCTTAAAGTCTCTCAAAGAATTTGCATTCAAACAAGCTGGCTAGCTGAATGCTGGATTACAGAATAATAGAGTTGGAAGGGATCTTGGTCTTCTGGTCAACTTCCTGTTCAATCAGAAGACCCTGTGCCATTCCAGGCAATTGGCTGTCCAATCTTTTCTTTAAAACCTCCTATGATTGTACATCCACAGCTTCTGGAGGCAAGCTATTCCACTGGTCAGAAAATTTCTCTTTAGTTCTAGGTTGATTCTCTCCTTCGTTACTTCTTGTCTTGCCCACAAGTGCTTTGAAGAATAGCTTGGCCCCTTCCTCTCTGTGGCAGCCCCTCAAACATTAGAAGACTATTATCATGTCATCCCTAGTCTCTTCTTCGTTAGACTAGACATGCCCAGTTTCTACAACCCTCTATTGTATACTTTAGTTTCCATCAGCGGTGGGTTTCAAAAATTTTTACTACCAGTTCTTTGGGTGTGGCTTGGTGGGCGTGGCATGACTTATTGGGCGTGGCAGGGGAAGGATACTGCAAAATCCCCATTTCCTCCCAATCAGCTGGGACTTGGGAGGCAGAGAATAGATGGCGGCGGGCCCAGTCAGAGGTGGTATTTACCGGTTCTCCAAACTATTCAAAATTTCCGCTACCAGTTCTCCAGAACTGGTCAGAACCTGCTCTGGTTTCCATCCCCTTAATCATCTTTGTTGGTCTTCTCTGCATCCTTTCTAGAGTTTCAACATCTTTTTAAATCAAACGCCACTACCAGCAATACCTGGAAAATCCTTCTGGTTATGAAACCTTGCCTTTCACAAGAACCTCTGACAAGAGGTGATAACCCAGTCCTAGATACAAAAACAATTTCCCAACTCTCCTGAGTAACAACAGTGGCCTCAGAGTGGTTTATTGTTTACACAGCTTTCATCACCCATTTCCTCCTGCCCATCATCATAAACAAACTTTTCTATTTCTAAATGGTTTTCAAAATATAGACATTTAGGGGATGCTATTGGAGAAGGTGAGTGTTGGTGCAAAAAGCAACCTTTCTTTGCCTCTTTGTGTATTGGAATGACATACATTTCAATTTTCTCTCTCTTTGTAGTCCAGTTTGTCTGTGAGAATGGATAGATTTCTCATCTATTAACCTTCAGTTCCCTTCTGAAGCTATACAGAAAAAAAATCCTGTATCAATTCACTTCAGAATAAACCCCACTGAACTGAAATTACTTCTGAGTAGATCAGCATCAGATTACATGAATCAGTGTCTCCCTTCTGATCCTTTTAAACTATAAAACTGCAGCTCATCGGATATTTTTTTTGCCCTTCTAAAAGCCACATAGTCTGGATGTGATGAACAAAGTATAAAGAATTTCTAAATATTCAAAATTCTACCACTAATCCAAAATTTATAATTTTATATAATTTTATTATATTATTATTATTTATTATGATACATAATTATATATATACTGTATATATATTGATGATGAATATATATATACAGTTAGTTTTTTAGTTTTGTTTAGACTATTTTAAAAAATGTATGTATGTATGTAAGTATGTATAAGAAAGCTCAGGACCGTATTTGTTGGAAACATGCAGGAGAGGCCTTCATCCTGCAATGGATAGACAATGGCTAAAATAATGATGATTTTATATGATTTTATAAAATGATGATGATTTTACGATGATATAAAATCATTATCTTAGCCATTATCTATCCATTGCAGGATGAAGGCTTTTCCTACATGTTTCCAACAAATACGGTCCTGAGCTTTCTTACACATACTTACATACATACATACATACATACATACATACATACATACATACACATACATACATACATACATATGAAAAAAAGACGCAAGCTTTTTCATGACAACTCTATAGTGGAAATGTTCAGCATCTCTGCAGAATCGCTAGTTTGAAAGGCAGAAAAGCACAAAAAGTTCTAAAGAGCTGACAGTGTACATACCATCCAATAGACAGTGAGTCTTCTGATACGGCCACTTGCCTAAGGAAAATAAATTGCTCCAGGTAACCTAAAACCTGCAGCCAGGTAGAAAAGCATGAACAGTTTGCAGCCAGGTAGAAAAGCATGAACGTGTAGGAAAAAAAGAAAAGCTCCACCCCCCAATTTACTGAGCTCCCCTTATCTCAAGGGAAAGAAGAAGCTGACAAATTGTGAGCCCCAGGAGAGAACATCTTAGCAACACACTTGTTTGAGGAGTTTATCCCTGGTTTCCCAGAAAGGCACTTCTGGTTTTAATGTTCTATCATCTCTCCACCTCTAATCAGATATATTATTAGTAGGTAGAAATAAATGGGCTTATTGCCTATTCCAAGCTAGGAAAAACCACTCCAGTTCTACATGATGTGTGTATCATGTAGAGGGGAGAGAGCAAGGAAATTAGACAGGAGACTGCTAATTGGAGTCAGAAAAATTGCATAAAAGTTAGCCTAAATTGGGGCACTTTCTCTGATAGCTGGACTATAACCTCTTTTTATCTTCTCATCAGCGTACATAGGACATACACGGTGTCAAGATGGGGGGGAGGGGAATCTCCATGAGGTTCTTAGTGATCTCTGAGCTTGGCTTGCAAATGTTTCATGACCCAACTAGGTACCATCATCAGTGCTAGAGAGAGTTGAGTTTGCTCTCTCTTTATATATAAGTGGTTTGCCCTGTCAATGTTGGAGGGAGTGTTCTTGATCTTCTGCACCAAAATAATCAAGTTCAGAGAGCACCAAGAACTCCACAGTTCAACCCTGAGCTACAAATATTCTTTTCTATCAGCCTACAACCTCCTTTGGGAAGAGAGATGCCTACTGATTGAATGGCAAATGGATGCTTTCAGAATGGCTAATTTTGAATGAAATATATGACTACTCATCAAAGGTAGCCATGGTAGAGATTCATATCTGTATACTATCCTAGGCCATGGTAGAGTTTGAGTTTGACCAAGGGATCCGTTGAACCCAATTACTATGGTATTTATACACCATGCTCTATGGCTAAGCAAATACATGAACATAGGTGATTAGTACTAATGCTGGAGAAAAAATATCTGTTTTCACAACTACAGAACAGGCAAATATGCCTGCTATCATTAGATGCTGTGGTTGAACATTCATCCATTGAAGAAATAAGAGTCAATTGCCAGCCCAATCAACTTTTTAATGAAAAGGAAATCAGGTCTTTTAAATCGATTTTAAACTAGGATTTGAAATAATTTGTAAGAGGATGGTGGTTGTCATATCATCAGTGTAGAAACTAATATATCAATAGAAAGAAACAAATGAGAAATACTTTATCATGGAAGAGACTGTGCCATATAATAAACAAACTAATAAAAACCTGAAATACTCAAACCATAAAAAAGATACAAGGTAAATTTAGTAGAAGAATAATCTAAAAACAGCATGTTCATATTTTTCTGAGTTTGCAGAGATCACAGAGAACCAACAATAGCCATTAACAGCCTTCCTGGCCATTAGCTGAACACAGAATATGGACATGTGCTAATGAACGCTTTCTTGCTGGTTAGTATTGAATGTTTCAATTTTATGTCTAAGCATAATTCCCTCTGCTAAATAATGAAAGAAAATAGAATGATAACAATTTGTGGGTTGGACATACAGGGGAAAAAAATCTTATTTGCCTTGCTTCCTCCTAAATGAGACCTGAAGTGGCTTATGTACTTCTGATCCACATAACACACTAAGCCAAAAAGAGAGCAAGCCAAATCCTGGTTTAGCATGATCTATAGCAGGGGTATCAAATTCGTGTCATCACGGCGGCGTGATGTGATGTATCAGGACTTTTTTCCATTTCGCTAAACCGGGCAGGGGTGGGGCCATCACATGATGCATCCGGCCCGTGGGCCATGAGTTTGACACCCCTGATCTATAATCTAACTTTTGAATAAATTAAGTTTTTTCTCAAAAGACATAGCACGTATGTTTGAAATAGCAACATTCACATTCAAGAAAGGAAGCAGCATTAAACTAAAAAAAATGACGAATTTCAAAGAAAAAAATGGGATAAGTTCTACTGAACACCTGCACCCACAATCACATTATGCATATTGTTGTCAGACTCCAAATACCAAGAAAGACACACTCAGGTTCTTCTAAGCAGTTTCCTTTATTACTGCTCACCTATAGACAGAAATCTTGCCAAAATAGATGAAAGAGAAGAAAAGACAGAGCCTGGGGGTGGAGTCAAGAGAGGAATCAGTCTGGAGTCCTTATGTTCCCACAATGATCCAAGTCTAGACTTCCTTGAATTCCATTAACACTTATCTATCGCCAATTTACTGCTGACCATTAATTGACTAGATTCTTGCATATGGGCTTGAGCAATAAATCAGTTTAATTGGAACTTAACATGTGATCTTGATTTTTCACGCCTGACATTAAAGCAACTATTTGCATAACTGAAGATATACTCTGAGAAGTTCTAAGGAGGAGAACTTCTTGAACCTCTTCCTCCCATCCGAACTATCTAAACTTTTGTGCCTCTTGCTCCGCAGGAATGCAGCCCCTCCCTCATGGGAATTCAGACTACATTCCACCACAATGAGTCACAACTATCATATGGCTTGTTTATTTAAGATTTGTATGGCTGTTTATGTTAAAACACAATTCTGGGCATCTCACAATAACAATAGAATCCAAAACTATGAGACCGTAAAATGTGCAATCAAAACAGGACCTCGTGCCTCAGTCATTTCCTAGAGATGTGGCACAACCCAGATATCCTCATTCTATCCAGATCTTGATGGCCTTCTGAAAGGCTAAAAGAATTGCTGGAAGGAGGATGTTCCATAAGGTAGGGGCAGTCATGGAAAAGGAACACTTTCAAGGTCCTTCTAAATGGCAAGATTTCAGGGAAGGGACTTGAGAAGATTGTCAGCTTAATAGTAATGTTTTTTTTTAAAAAAGGAAAATAAAAAGACCTACCAATAAGTAGAAAAGTATGCTCATCTCATTATTTCTAGCCGTAAGTTAATTTCCTCTTTCTAGTTCATGTTTGGTTTGGTTCCTGTATAGGTTAAAGACTTAAAGTTCTTTAATCTAACGTGAAAGAAATGTGTCTGTTTATCTATATGAGTGTGTCTGAATATGTGCGTATGTGGGAGAGAGAAGGGAGGAGAACTAGCTAAAAGTCAAACTCCCACTCTCTGAGAAAAGATTATGCCAAACAGAAGGCGGTGCCCAGGGCCATTAATTTATCAGCACAGTTTCATATCTGGCTATGCATCTCTGGTCTGACAGCCTAATTAGCCCTATGGAGATCAACATTTTCTGCTGTCTTACTATTGAGAACTTTAGAGAAGATGACACATTGCTTGGCTTTTTTTCAGAAAGATCACCATCTCCATGCCTGATTAAAATATTATTTTTTAAAAAATGGAAGCCCTTTTTGCTTGGGAAAAATCAATTTCTTGTCTAAGTTAGAAGGCTCCTCTCAAAGAACCAGAGGCTTGGAATCCTTCCCTTGTCATGTTTCCCTATTTTCTAATTACTCAATTCCTATTCCCAAGGTTAGCATCCAGAAATTGTTGGATCTCAAACCCTTTGGTAGGTGTCACTACTAATGAGCTGTCCAGGGAGGGAGGGAGGGAAGGAAGGAAGGAAGGAAGGGGATCCATCTTTGACTAGTCCCTATGCATTTTTTTCAAAGTCTTAGAAACCAGGTGTCCTTCCAAATTTCCTTAAAAGATGTCTATGCTATACAGGTGTTCCTCAATTTATAGCAATTCATTTAGTGACTGTTCAAAGTTACTTCAGCACTAAAAAAAGTAATTTATGTCCATTTTTCACTTACATGCTTACAACTTTTGTAGCATCCCCATGATCATGTGATCAAAATTCAGATGCTTGGCAAATGGTTCATATTTATGATGGTCGAAGTGTCCCAGGGTCATGTGATCACCTTTTGCAACCTTTTGACAAGCAAAATCAATGGGAAATCAGATTCACTTAACATCTGTGTTATTAACTTATCAACTGCAGTAATTCACTTAATAACTGTGGCAAGAAAGGTTGTAAAATGGGGCAAAATTGATTTAACAAATATCTCACTTAACAACAGAAATTGTGGGGTCAATTGTGGTCATAAATCAAGGATTACCTGTACTAGTGGGGAAATGGCTGAAATCCAACTATTGTAAACCCATCTTAGGAACTGAAGCACAAAGATGTTTGCAATTGGGCACTAGAGGAAACTAAAAGATGAGGCAGAAAAGGGTTAAAGTGCCTTATCTCAAAAAAGAATTCTTCAAAAAAACATGTTTTTGAATCATGGATGAGATTTTAATTAATAATATTAATTAATTCTCAGAAAGAGTACAGATTTCAATGGGCCCACTTTTAGAACATGATGAGAAAAACTTCAAAATATTTTTACCTGACGTAGATATTATCGAGTTTGAAAGCATGGAAGACAACAACATTGAGATTACCAACATGGGAATACAAAAGACAATTCAAGAAAACAATCTGGAGATGGAACAATTATGACAAGAAATTCTGACGATGCCTCTTTATAGGATTTATAAAGCACCTTGGTGAAAGTTTTGACGACTCCTTTTAAATACCAAAAAGTAATGAATGATCAAATCCTGCAATGCCACAGGAGTGATTTAAAGGTCAAGATTGTGCAGAAGAAAAAAGAAGGAATATAACATTGATCAGGGATTAATAATTCATTTGATACTTCTGGTTAATGGATTTTTGGTTGGTGATTTCTGGATTGCATCTAGATAAAAGTTAGGTTATGGGAAGAAGAGTTTTTTTTTAATTGTAATTTTTAAAAAGGATGAAAAGTTAGTATGTGACTCAGAAATATCTGAACAAACAACATTTAGAGTAATTTGCAATTCACAAAAAGGAATTTAAAGACCTGCGTTCTGACAGTAGAGCACAATTCAAAATGCACTGACGATGTCTTCTTGAATGGTGATGAAACATTTGCAACCAAATTGCCAAGCTCGGAGCTCAAACCAACTGCCTAGTTTACATTAGTTTTTACTATGTGAATGAACAATTTCAATAAAAAAATT